TTTTCTTTTGTTTCGCTTACGTTATCATGGGCTGCACCCTAGAGACGATCTTCATGCAGAGCTTGAGGGAGGCGGTTATCTCGCTGCTGGTCACGCGATCCATGTGAAGCGACAGCAGCTGGGTGATGGCCAGGAACACTTTGGGCAGATAGACGCGCGTCGTCTCCGTGTACATTTCCAGGGAAACGGTCTCCAGAAGGAACTCGGTGAGCACGCAGATCTCCAGCACACACGGATCGCCAGAGCCCACCTCGCAAGCAAATTTATCGCCGCCTTCCGCACTCGCCTGAGGCAGAAGCTTGTCCTGCTTGTCCGAGGAGTTTGCCTGGTGGCAGGCGCGCTCAAACATGTTAGTCATGTAGCTCCAGATGTAGGCCGGATCGAAGGTGGCGAAGAGAAGGTTGGCGGACTTGAGAGCCTCCGGATTGCCGCTGGAGATGTACATGGCTCGTATGATGTCGTGGAGGACGTAGTCCAAGACAGCGCTGCCAATCTCTGCCTTGTCAAGGAGCGATAACATAATTCGATAGGGCTTCAGATCCATGGGGGCACACTCCAGACTCAGCCGCAGCGTTGTTATTAAAGCCCGGATCAGTATGTGCCTCGAATGCTTCACAAAGTACGGCTCCGGTGGCTCGTCCAGCGGGGTTGCCGAGGCGTCCAGCGAGAGTGTGTCATAGGTGGGCGAGTTCTTGGCCACCTCGCTGCCCAGCAGCCAGCTAAACAGTCGCCTATTTAGCGACATGTCGCGTCTCAGTATTGTATTGAGGCCGTTGGTGACCAACTTGACCAGATCATCTTCGGCCAGCAGTGCCGTGTGCATGGGAAAACCGAGCAACAGGAATTCCAGCGTGTTGCGCTGCACCAGGATCAGGGAGTCGTTCAAACAGGCACACAGCGCCGACATCATTATCTCCCGATTGTGGCCCATAACATAGATTTGTTCCTGCATGTCCAGCCGCTTGTTGAAATGCTCCAGCAGGTAGGTGATGGCTGGCAGACGGATCGCCGCATTATTGGCCACCGACTCCCAGAGCACCGTGTAGAAGTGCATGGGATTGACGGCATTGCACACTTGTTTCAGCAACGCACTTATCCGCTCAAAATGGTCCAGCCCGCAGTCGTAGCCGGGCAAGACGCCGTTCAGAAATCCGCTTAGAGCAGGCCGCAGTTTGTCCCCGAGTGGAACGAAATATGTTTCATAGATGGCCAGCAGAGCGGGCCGCACATTCATGGCGGCATAGCCCAGCAGGGGGAACAGGCCAGCGCTGGAAGAGCAGGACAATTAGAGAATACTCTTCGTGGAGTGCTGGGGTGGATACTCACCTGTAAATAAACTCTGTGGCCAGACGCTCGGGTCCAGTCTTGCTGAATATGACCGAGTAGGTCTCAAGGGCCTTCAGATGCACGCCCGAGGGCAGGGCGGGATGCATGCACTGGGCCAGACGCTTGGCAATCTTCAGGCGTCTGGGTATGACCTGATACTGCGTATTGCTTGATATTGCCTGCCAAAGCAAAGAAAAAACAAAACAAAACACCAGTTAAAAACAAGCCGAGATAAGAATTGGTCCCTCATGGGGAAAGCGAGGTAGTGATTCAGCTCTGCTCGACCCGGCCATATCTCAGTTGCCACATTGCGGCGATAAAACCCCCTTGTGATGTGATGGGCCTTGCTGGGCTGGAGTTGAGTGCTGGGTGATTCAATACCTTGCTAAGTTTGCCCAGTGCCGATATCAAATCCGCCCACTCGCTGGAGTACTCGAAATTGCGCAGCGCTTTGTCGATGTTCGTCATGTAGTTGCGGTACTTGGCCTCGGCCATGAGTTTCTGCTCCTCCATGAGTGCGTCTGCAGACTCCATGGCGACGTCTTTTGCCAGTCGGCTATTCGGTTTTCAAATTAATTACTCTCAAGCTCTCAAGATTGAGTCGTTGGCTTAGTCGGAGCACTGCAAAACAAAAGCCAGAAAGCGAATAATCAATAGCAATTAGCAAAAAGCAAACACAAACACTTGTTGCCTTCGTCGTGCTTGGTGGGGATGGTGGCCGTCGTCGTGTCGCGTCGCCTCGCGTCGCGTGTCCTTGGTTTTGAAGTCTTTATGGCATACAGTATACAGTTGTTTCAATTTTAAAACGCTCCGCTCTTCACCTCTGCATATTGGAAAAGTGTGGCATTCAGAGCACTTGCTTGCTTGGTAACACAAGAAGGCGTGTGGGAGGGTAGGGTCTGTAAGCTAAATGCAGTTGTCGTAACAGCGGAATGGGAATGGGAACGGGCACGGGTGGCTTCTTTGTTGGCGTATTATTCCTATATACACACACAGCACACAAGTTTCGCTTAATTGAGTTTCTAAAGCATTTCAAAATTTCACCTTGTTAACCCCCGTTCTGCGTACAGCGTATTCAGGTTTTTAATTTGTTATCAACAATTCCCGGGAATCAATTCGAACCGACGAAAATGTTACCCTAGTGCGTGGCAGGATTAAGTGTGTTTCGACGCTCTCTCTCCGCTCTGAATGAATGCAGCGACTGTTGGTGTTGGTTGGCAGACTACAGACCAGCTGATGACGAATTTTTGCTGTTTGCTCTCGCCAACGGGAGGGTGAGGGACAGAGCGGTGCGCGTGACGATGGCGAAGGGAAGTGGGGAGTTCGTTCAGACAGAAAGAGACAGACTTGTGTTTGTTTTCGCTTCATATATTATGGTTACATCGATTGAGCTACTGCATTTGGCAGTGTTGGTGCATACCGCAGCTTTCGTTTGTTGCTTTTAATACATTTCACATTATTTTTTATTGCACTTATTCTGTGAGATTTGTGATTGTGTTGTTTTTTTTTTACATGGCAAATTTTTTTGCTGTAACTTGCTAGAGATGGTCGATTCTGCTTTCTATCTGTGACTCTTCACGAGTATTTTTAAGCAACCGATGAATGATCGATACCTGTTTTACTTCATATCATCGCATTGCGGAAAACAATAGAAAAAGGACGAAGGAAGGGGGAGGGTTCTGGCCGAACAGCTGTTCGGTTCACACATGCAACAACAAAAATGCTTAGGGAATGGGCTATAAAAAGGGGTGGGGTATGGACAACAGGCAAAAACAGCCAAGGAAACAGCCGATTTTGTCTCAAGGTATATTAGGCAAAGGGGTGGATTTTACCTTGCATGCGTTGCAGTTTCAGGGACGTGTTGCCTCTTGTCCATACCCCGTTTGTACTCTGTGACTGTCCAGGGGGCGGGCTCGAAAGAACGGTTGGAATTTGAGACACGGGGCTCCAGAAAAAGCCCCTCCAATTTTTTTCCTCGTTGGCGTCGGTCGGTGCTCATGTTCGTGTTTCTTCGGATTATAGGAGAATTATAGAAACCAATTCATGTATGAAAGTCAATAGATTTAATGTTTCTTTTCTTTCGCAAACTCAATAAATTACCTTAGTAAAATGGCTATATGTGCATTGCTTTGAATGACGTTTTTTTTCAACACGTGTTTTCTTGATTTATTTTATATTTTTATTTGGGTAGCTGCTAATAAGTACAAAACAAAAAGGCATAAAGAAATTCAATATCAATTTTTTTAATAACAAAAAAAAATAATTGTAAATTTTTCACATAGAAAATGGGTATAACAGCAAAAAATATTTTGTATGAAAAAAATTTCCAAGGAACAAGTTTATGGGAATATGTACTCTTTTAATAATTAATGGAGTTAAACTTATGCTCCTGAAGCTTTTGCAGCCCACTGTGCATTGAGTTCGGAAAGTTTTTTAGTGTTGTTATTTCTATCCTGTTCCATTTTGCAACTATCGCTTGTTTTAATTGCTTCAATGTATCGTTCTGCCTTGTACAGGCATAGACTTTTGCTGCAAGGATTCCCCACAGATCCTCAATTGGATTTAAGTCCGGACTCATTGAAGCCCACTTAATCAACGGTTTATTGTGGGTCTCAAAATAGTCCATTGAGGCCCGGGAAACATGAATTGGCGCATTATCCTGCTGAAATGTCTATTGATCACCATGGAAATGCTCAGCAAATGAAAAAGGTTCACTATCTATCAATTCTATCTATGCTTGAGCATTCATCCGGCCGGATATTAAACATATTGGAGACCTCCCTTTAGCACTAAAGGCAGCCCATATCATTAGCGATCCATCACCATGGTTTGGCTTGTAGCAAGTTGCCCGTGGATGACGCGGGTCTCTCCAATATTTATGATGGACATCTGAACCGTGTAAACTCATTTTTTTTCATCACTAAAAATGAAATTTTCTAATTCGGGGTCCCAGAACTTTTGTTTTTCAAAAATGACACGCGCGCATCATTATGACGTTTAGTTTAGAGGAGTTTGCCCACTTTCTTTTGATATGTCAGGTTAAAATTTTCGTTCAAAATTTGGCTCACACGTTGCCTGGGGATTGTTAACCCGAGTTCTGCCTTGATTTTGTTGCAGCTCATTAGGTCTTCAGTTGCAAACTGCCCCAAGTGCCGTTTTGTCAATTCTATTATGGTTGATACTGGGCCAAGTCGACGATTTATGCGGTAACCGTCTGGATCTATGAACATTTTTGAAATAGTATTTTGATGTCGATACATTAGCGAAGCTATTCGACCAGTTTTTATGCCGGCTAATTTCATTCTCTTGATCCTTCCCTGTTCTTCCTCAGAAAATGATTTACCATGTGGCATTTTTAACTAAAATGTATTTTTTTTTTTTTTAATTTTTATTGATTTGAAGCAATAATGAGTGCTTACGTACAGAATCAATCAGCTTGTCACTTTTACTGAAAAGATGCTAACACTGCGACTCTCAAAACATGAATAGACATGATTGCACATATATCTATTTTCTACGTAGAGCGCGAGCTTGATCTCTTATCTAAGCTAATGGTACCACAAATGGAGTTCAAAGAAGACGAAAATTTGTCATAACTGAGCACAACAATAAGAGATAAGAACTGCATAGTCAAACCCAACAAGCATCTATTACTTTTTAAGAAAAATTGAAAATAAGTTTTGCACATATAGCCATTTTACTAAGGTACTAACTGATTGCTGGCTACACTTCAAATAAATACAAAGTTTGTTAAATGCAAACGAAATAAATATAGAAAAATGATTGGAGCTGTGCCAGTCGACGGCGAATGCGTGATTAGAAAGTTGAGGTAAAAATGTCCAGCATATTTATGGAGTATATTCAAAGCCTTACTTCTTCTTCTTGCCCTTGCCCTGTCCGCCAGCGGCTGGTGCTCCAGTCAGAGCCGCCAGCTGGTTCTTCAGGGCCAAGAGAATATCAACTTCTGGCTTCCACACAGACGCATCACCCTTGGCTTTTAAGGTTCTCACCTTTTCTGCCTGCTGTGCAAGTTTGTCTTCCAATGCCTTGACTTGGCCTGCGTCGGCCGAGGCTGCAGGAGGAGCAGCTGTAGTTGCAGCAGGAGCTGCTGCAGCCGCTTTGGCTGCCTTTTGTGCAGCTTCGAGCTGTTTCTTCAGATCAAGCAGCACATTCACCTCTGGCTGCCACACCGTTTTGTCTTTTGTGCTACCCTTTAGGTTTCGCACCTTTTCGCCCTGCGCCTGTACGGCCTTCTCCAGATCCTGCACTGATTGTCCACCATTCGATGGCGCAGGAGCAGAAGCTGGCGCAGCTACAGCGGTCTTCTTAGCCTCCTCCAGTTGCTTCTTCAGGTCTAGCAGTTTGCTGACTTCTGGCTGCCACACTGTCTTGTCCTTGGTGCTCGTCTTTAGCTGTCGCACCTTATCGGCCTGAGCTTGCACGGCTTGCTCCAGGTCTGCGGTGCTTGACTGGCTCTGCACGGACGCTTTCGTCTCCTGGGATCCACCATACTTGGTCTTGAGCTCATCAATGAAGGACTGCTCCAGTTTGGCGAAGAGGGGCGCGGGCTTTCCGATCTTGTGTCCTGCGGGGAGTAGCAAGGTGGCCAATGGTTTCCTAAATAATGACACACACAGATTAAGAAACAGCTCTGATGATACAGGGGATCCATTCACTTACTCTGCATTGAGCGGCGTCTGTTTGGCGTTGAGCTGGGCAAAGAGAGTTCGTGCCGTGGAGGGCATGTAGGGGAAGAGGAGGTTAGCCAACAGACAGGCAATGTTTGCGCACAAGCCAATGATGGTGGCAGCGCGCTTCTTTTGCTCATCGTTGCCCTTGAGGAGCACCCAGGGCTGCTGTGTCTGCATATAACCATTGCCATGCCGGGAAATAGCCAAAAGATGACGAATGCCATCGCGCAGCTTGGCCTTCTCCAAAGAATTGATGTATCCGCGGAGCTCGCGGTTGACAAGGGCCAGCAAAATGAGCTCCTCTTCCGTGGCGACCACCTCGGGAACAATGCTGTTGAAGTTCTTCTCGCAGAAGACCAGAGCACGATTGACAAAGTTGCCCAAATTGTTGAGAAGCTCAGAGTTGTTGCGTGCCGCCAGATCGTTCCAACTGAAGCTCGAGTCCTGGCCCTCTGGTCGTGCCGAGGCCAAATAGAAGCGCCAGACATCTGCCGGAATGCCCGTTGCCTGGGCATCATTGCCAAAGACTCCGATTCCGCGACTCTTGCTGAACTTTCCATCCTCGTAGTTCAGATACTCGGTGGCCATTATGTGCGACACGAGCGTGTGTCCCTTGTTGATAGCCAGCAGGACGCTGGGCCACACAACCGAGTGGAAGGGCACATTGTCCTTGGCCATGAACTGGAACAGCTCCACGTCAGTTCCCTTGGCGGGCTGCCACCATTTTTGATACTCCTTGGTGTAGCGCTTAGTCATCGACACGTATCCGAAGGGCGCATCGAACCACACATAGAAGACCTTCTTCTCGAAGCCGCTGTGGGGCACTGGAATTCCCCATTTCAGATCTCGCGTGATGCATCGCGGCTTGAGGCCCTCCCTCAGCCAGGCTCTCGTGATCACTTTGGCATTGTGGGTCCACCCATTCTCCGCCTTGTCCACCCACTCACGGAGCCGAGGCTCGGCCTTGGGTAGATCGATAAACAATTGATCCGAGGAGCGCAGGATGGGCGCAGTGTTGCACACTTTGCAGCGTGGACGGATCAGTTCGGTGGCATTCACCAGCTTGCCGCATTTGTCACATTGATCGCCGCGGGCATCCGCATAGCCGCAGCCAGGATGCGGACAGGTGCCCTCCACAAAGCTGAAGGCAAATCTCAATTTAGGGATTATATTTCAAGGCAGAAAGTCATGAAAAACTCACCGATCGGCCAGAAAACGGTCGCACTTCTGGCAGAGTAACTGCTCCACGCTCTCTGTGATGATATACCCAGCACTGTGGACATCCTTGAATGCCTCCTGCACAATGCTGCAAAATCAGAATAATCTCAGTTGGAAATCCACAGCCACTTCCACAAATTCATTATTCACTCACTCTGTTTGCTCCTGGGTGGTGGTGCGCCCAAAGTAATCGAAACCAATGCCAAACCAGCGATAGATGGAATTGTGGAGCTCAAAGTACTTGTCGCATATCTCCCGCGGCGTCATGTTCTCGGCCAGAGCCTTGTTCTCCGTGGCCGTGCCATATTCATCTGTGCCGCAGATGAGCAGCGTGTTGTAGCCGGCGCAGCGGGAGTAGCGAGCGAAAATATCCGCAGACAGGACACAGCCAATTATGTTGCCCAAGTGGGGAACATTGTTAACATACGGCAGGGCCGAAGTGATGAGCACGTTGCGTTCGCCCGCTTTGGGTAGCACAGTGCGTTGCTCCTGGACATCCTTGGGGGCTGTGTACGTAAAGGAAGCTCCTGCTGCGGCTAGTTCCTCATCTGTGACTGTGTCCGCGACTGTGGATGCTGTTTCCGCCAATAGTTTGCCCGCATCCGCCAGGCTGAGACGTTTCAGTGGCACGTGGTGTAGTCCACCATAGCGATTCGACTGCTGCAGCGCATTGAAGCTAAGATCCTTCAGCGGCTGTTCGGCCAACACCTGCTGTACCTCGGGCAACGCTTTCACCCGGTTATACCAGCCGTGCAGGCTCTCCAAATTCTGCGCGCCCTTGAGAGTGCCATCCGGAGCGAGAAGCGACCAGACAGCAATGTCAGCAGCGCTCAATTTGTCTCCGGCTAGGTAAGGCGTAGCTTTCAGGCAATCGTCCAGCTTCTTCACCAAAGCATTCAGCACCGGTAAAGCGTTTGGATCGGCACGGTGTCCCACGGCCATGTGATGGGCGAGGGCAGGCGCCAGCAACATGGTCGACCATTCCAGCCACTGTTGGAGAATATTGGTTTAACCTTGAAGGGTCATTGCTTAAATTAGGCGCAATTATGCTTGCTTCCGTACCTCATCCCTTAGCTGGCCCTCATCCACGAACAGATACTTGGCGATGGCTGCGGGCGAGAACAGACGCAGTCCATTGTCCAGCTCGAGTGTGGGCAGAATCAGGAAATCCTTGAATTTGGCATCTGCAACAAAACCAGTTATTGCATCAGACACGATTACCTAGTCATAGTGCATGCACTCCGCCGGAGTTCCCCACGGAAGTTGTTCTTCACCCACCATTTAGATTTAGGTTAACCAGTTGAACCGACCGCTTGGCGAATTTGGCCAGCATCAGCAGCTGCAGTCCCAGGGGATTGCCTTCGTTTGTGTATATTATCATCTTGCCGAGATCCAACTTTTAATTCAATTTACGTGGCAAAAGAGGGTAAAAATCTTACGAATTTCTGCACCGCAAACGCACGCGAATTGGTCAACAGCACATTGAACGAACTTAACCCACTTAACCCCCCTACTTTTAAACAGACCAACTACTTGATGTAAATGGCGGAAAATAAATCCGACGGTAAATTCTTCTTGTAGGTCCATGCTTCTTTCCTATGAACTAAAAAAAAGTCACACAATCTTTCACCTGAACTGCGCTAAAATTCTTCAAGTTTCATAATATGCGTGTGTGTATTTAAGTACCCACTGCTCGAAAATGGGTTAATCATAAGTTGACTGCCAACAGCTGATTTGTCCGTGTCTGTTTTCCGTTCGTGCAAAAAAATAACAAGACAACTTTTCTTGGCAAGATGTGGTTCGAAATCCTACCTGGCGCCGCTATTATCACCGTGCTCCTGTCCGTGCCCATATACGCCATGTACGGCGTGCAGAAGCTGACGCTGGGCAATGTGAGTTAGACCGCTACCTCCTGTCCGAGCAATTCCAAATTCTTATATAACCACAGTTAATTGGGCACTATACGGAATTTATAAAACATATTCCAAGCTCCGCGGATGTACAGCTTGTGGCAAATAGTTTTCTGGCAATGATTTCTAATGGTTTTCTTTTACTCCCGCAGGCCTTCCGTCGCAACATGGACGAGCGTTTCAGCCGTGTGATGTACCAACGCGACTTCCGACTGACCGATAATCCATACTTGATGAATGTAAGTGCTATTTGTTGATCAGTGTTTTCGTATTCTCTGCATTCCATTCCTCATTATAATATTATTGGTCAGTGTTTCGTTTTGTTGTTTTTTTTTTTTATTTCCGCCTTGTTATACTTCATTGGTGTTGGGTCGCTTCATTTCCTTATCGTTATGCACGTTCATTTAAAGTTTCCACAGCCGATCCTCTGTATTGAGACACAATTCATTTACTTGCAGGGCCTCGATGCCATACCAGACGAGAAGAAGGAATAAGTTGATCTAAGTGAAATTTCTTTAAAACTTAAGTGCAAAAGTGAATAAACGTAAAGTGCGGAAGTGAAAGATTGGTCGTTGTAGAGTTTTCCTGTAGTTTTCCTTCCATTGCCCAGATCTATACCCAGCCCTCTTCTCTTCCTAGGGACTTGACGCCATTCCCGATGATGAAGAAGACGATCAGAATAAGGAGCAGAATGAAGTTTTCAATGTGGGTGATGATCCCGATCAGGAAAATTAGATCAATCCAAAATGAAACATGTATACTGTAATTTCAATTCAGAATAAAGTCAAGGGCCTCCCCTTTGCCTTGGCTTTTGCCGCGCATTTAACAACCCTGTTCTTGAGGTAGAAACCACCCCTGTGAACCCCTGTGCGTGGCCCAGTCCGTTGGCCTGTCGTCGCCAACTTTTGTGGTATTCGGTGAAAAGGCGTCGTCGACGGGAGAATAACATTGCGAAAATAAACTGATTTCCCCGGTTTTCGTCACTCAAATTTTCCCAGAAAGTGGCTAAAGATTAGCAGGAGAGCCAGTGCATCCGCCTGGAGCTGTGTGAGATGAGTGAAATTGATAATCCCAGTGACAATTTCGTTTAGAAAGTGTCCGCCAAACAAAGCTTCTGCCGTGCATATACAGAAACGCAGCCATGGCTGCCCGGTTGAGGGTGGGAGTGGGTGGCGTTGGGGGTGTGGGCTTGGGGCCAGCTTTGGGGATGAGGAAAATACCGAGTTTGTTGGTTTTTGTGGTTTCCTTGGGGCTGTGCGTGTTCTTATTTAACAGTGAAGTGCACGCCAACTCGCTGAACGCCATCGAGGAGCCAGCGCGGCGCCACCACCAGCACCAGCGTCATCACGAGCACGACAGGGAACGGGCTGAGGACAATGGCTACTGTGCTCCCTACAACGGCAAGGTGTGCAAGCAGTACATTGTCGGCCAGGTGTGGTACAGCCTGGACGACCCAACGGGTGGCTGGAAGAATGAGCAGACCACAACGGCGCTGTGGGACGAGCTGATTAGCGACCTCACCGGTCTGTGCCGCGAGGCGGCTGAGGTGAGCAGCCCACTGAGCACACCCTCTGTTGGTGTCTTATATATTCCTTTCGATCGATCCCCTACAGAAAATGCTGTGCGCCTATGCGTTTCCCAACTGCCATGTAGAGGACGGACAAGCTGTGAGGGCTCCGCTCTGCTTCGAGGACTGCCAGGCCACCCATCTGCAGTTCTGCTACAACGATTGGGTGCTCATCGAGGAGAAGAAGGAGCGCAATATGTTCATCAAGAGTCGGGGCTCCTTCCGGCTGCCCAACTGCTCTGCTCTGCCGCACTACGACACCTCCATGCGGCGGCCGAACTGTTCGTACATAGGCCTCACGGAGATCAAGGAGTCGGAAGCTAGCTGTGAGTTGGCCCTACCACCATCGCTGAGAGATCCCTCCTAAACTAATATGAAATTTTCTTGCATTGACAGACGATTGCCGAAATGGCAACGGCCGATTTTATCTAGGAACTATGAATGTGACCAAATCAGGAATTCCCTGCCAGCGCTGGGACACACAGCATCCACACAAGCACATCCAGCCACCCCTGGTGTTTCCACAGCTTCTGGAGGGCGAGAACTACTGCCGGAATGCTGGTGGAGAGGAGGAGCAGCCCTGGTGTTACACGGTCGACGAATCTGTGCGCTGGCAGCACTGCGACCTTCCCATATGCCGTGAGTCGAGCTGTTTCTTTCCTTCCAACAGGAGCTCATCTTTGTTTACTTCTTCCCAGCCGACTATGTGGATCCCAATGCCAACGACATGAACACGCCCATAAAAATGGAGAAGTTCTTCACCCCCTCAATGATTTTCCTGCTGGCGGGGATCGGTTTCATTGGGATCGTGGCCCTCCATCTGATGATATTGCTGATATACAAGCTGTCCAAGCACAAGGACTACTCCCAGCCGCCGGGAGGAACTGGACCAGGATCTGGCACTGGCGGGGGTGATTGCAATGCCTCGATGAGGGCCGGTGAGTGCGGAGGCAACTTGGCGACCAGTCGAGAGACACTAGGAGGAGCAAATACCAACACACTGGCCAAGTGGGGCACCATCCGCAGCACGGCCACCATCCACAGCAACTGTGTCACCCTCACCACGGTGGCCATTCAGGATACCAAGGGCCAACAGAATGCTCGTCTGGAGAAGCTGGAGTATCCACGCGGCGATATTGTGTACGTGCGCTCCCTGGGACAGGGCGCCTTCGGTCGGGTGTTCCAGGCCAAGGCCCCGGGTCTGGTGCCCGGCCAAGACGATCTCCTGGTGGCCGTCAAGATGCTCAAGGACGATGCCAGTGATCAGATGCAAATGGATTTCGAGCGGGAAGCCTGCCTGCTGGCCGAATTTGAGCATCCAAACATCGTGAAGCTGCTGGGTGTGTGCGCCCTGGGCCGGCCTATGTGCCTGCTCTTCGAGTACATGGCACCAGGAGATCTCAGCGAGTTCCTGCGCGCCTGCTCACCCTTTGCCACCCACCAGGCCCAGCCCCGTGACCGGCTGCAGCTGAACGAGAAGCACCTGCTGCAAATGGCCGCCGATATTGCATCGGGAATGCTCTACCTGGCGGAGCGGAAGTTCGTACACCGCGACCTGGCCACTCGCAACTGCCTGATCAACGAGCACATGACGGTGAAGATAGCCGACTTCGGACTATCGCACAAGATTTATCTGCAGGACTACTACAAGGGCGACGAGAACGACTTCATACCTATCCGCTGGATGCCGCTGGAGAGCATTCTGTACAACAAGTTCTCGCTGGAGTCGGATGTGTGGGCATACGGCATCGTGCTCTGGGAGATCTTCTCCTTCGCCCTGCAGCCGTACTTTGGACTTACCCACGAGGAGGTCATCAAGTACATCAAGGAGGGCAATGTTCTCGGCTGTCCGGACAACACGCCACTTTCCGTCTACGCCCTGATGCGTCGCTGCTGGAACCGCAAGTCCAGCGAGCGACCAGGCTTTGCCGAGATCAACCACTGCATCCAGCACAGCATAGCAGAGAACGAGTGCAAAGCCATGCTCTAGAGCATGTGAAGGGATCTGGATGTAGATCAATCGAATCCGAACAAATGCAATAACTCCGTCGCGTTTCACACGTTTGCAATGAATCCGTAATCCATAAATCGTAATCAGAATGCTCGTCCGTAGTCTTCCGGGGCAGGCAATACAACGATTATATACAAGAAACACCCTTTTATACACATATACCACTGATATATATAGTTGATATACTGATATCCCAGACCAGAGGGGCAGGCAGATTGTGCTTCAGTAAAGTTAAACAGTTGTGAACCCTGCAAGGTTCCATTCCATATCTCTAAGGAATTGATGTCTCTAATTTGGATGCTTCCACGCGCAGCCTTCCGTAATCTTGGTACTATTTTGTTATATTCATCAAAAGGCTCCCCTCTGACTGGGGTCTAGTCTCTACTCGACTTAATTTGCCACAACGAACGCATCATGCATGTCAGCCACTCGGATGGTAGCCGTACTCATATCCGTAGTCCTAAGTTTTCCATATAACCATATGTATGTAGATTGCATTTTAATGGGTTTTTACTAGGATTAAGCAGGCCACTACTGGCATGGTGAGCCAGAGTCCAAGCACTCCACACAAAAACTCAACTCAGTATGTATACAAAGTGCTGAATTGTGCAACAGGAACCACACACACACCGAAGACCATCAAAACAATAAGGAATATGAAATATTTAGAGAACTGTCTACAGCCTAACTTTCTTGAGACATTTACATAATCAGAATTTGTAACTAAAATGTTGAATGTAATTTGTATAAATAAACCCCACTCATAATCGTACCCAGCTCCGCACTACTCCTCAGCATGTGTAGTAGCCGTAGTCGTCGTAGTAGCATCTGCTGTAGGCCACCGGCAGGGGAATAGGCAAAGGCACAGGTATAACGCCTCCGTATCCATAGCCTCTATACCGACCATATCCGCCGTAGCCATAGTATGGTCGGGCGCTACCGAATCCGTATCCTCCACCTCCCCCGTATCGACCACGCCCTCCACCGCCGCGTCCACCGCCGAATCCACCGCCGCGTCCACCGCCGAATCCACCGCCGCGTCCACCGCCGAATCCACCGCCGCGTCCGCCACCGTGTCCACCACCATGTCCACCACCGTGTCCACCTCCAGCTCCACCGCCGTGTCCACCTCCCCCTCCTCCTCTGGCCTCAGACATCTGCCAGGGAACCAAAAGCAGAGCTAGGCATAGCAAAATCCACAATCTTGACATTTTCCTTCCTCTTAGAGAACCTTTTCGATCAGTTTTTCAATTGCGACTGGGACAGAACCTCAATCGGAACTTCGGGACTTGGACTCCGGCTGTAAATACTAATTATTCCCGATTAATTAGGATCACCGTGTTAAGTGATATAGCGAAAATCCCCCAATGCATTGCAGATACATTTTTTGTAGTAATTTGTTTTTGTATTTGGATTTCACGACTCCCGCCTCGCCTCCGATTCACACTCCTCGATATCACAGAGCCTAAATGATTAGGCATGAAATTCAATATTTTCCTTAACCAAATGAGAACCTAAATGTACAAATGGGGATGACCCATGGAGCTGTTTTTTCAGAGCACCTCGGGGCAGTTTTTGTTTTTGCTGATGATTAGTCTGTCCGGATCTAGCGAGAGTCTCTTGAGCACATCGTAGACTTTGGAGCGTATGTCGACTTCGAAGTCGCGATCACGCCCCAATATCCATATCTGATCGGAATGGCCCAGGGAGCCAATGCTGCCGCAGGACCAAAGGATGGCAAAGTTCTCATAGTCCGTATAGAGCACTTGGTACTTCCCAGAGCCGGGCAACAGACGGGCAATCACATCCGGGAATCGAGTGGTAAACTACCCAAGTAAGCATTAATGATAATAATGAAAGTGTTTAAGCAGCGAACGAAAGGGAAGTCTCACCTTGAAATCCATGATGGAGGATCTGCTGTTCTCGGGCGTAGCATAGCCTATATTCACATTCGGATTGCCAGTTCTACAGAGGATAACACTAGCTAATAGAGCTGAATATCTACATATGATCGGTTTGGCTCTACTCACATACGATTGATGTTCTTGATGGCCACCCCTAGCTTGAAATTTTGGAACTTGGATTGCTCTCCCTTGTTGTACGGCTCGAACTGAAATGTGGTGCAGCCCGAAGCAATCTCTGGAAGGTAAAACGAACGTTCTACCTCATACCAATGGCCCAGAACCTGAAATTAAGCAAATAAGTTTTTTATTGTTTCAGCATTATCTAAGATATATTTAAACGTTGTACGTCTTTTCTTTTAAGGAAAACTTTCAACATCAAGGGGTGTAACAAGGAAATGTTTACTCAAGGTACTCATTCATTCATTTATTAAATAACTATGGGTAGTATAGTATATATCGTTCGGATAACCCCAGAACTAATTAGATCGCAGCTGCGTGGTTCTGAAAGTTGGGCCCTTTCTTGTGCTGGCACGCGCTTTACCTGCGTTTCTCTCGCGTTAACTGGGTTACAACTCCAACAAGTCCCCCCCTTCTTTCGCGGTAGCATTCATTATTTAGCAAATAATGCGTAAAACATAAACATTTTTGTGTTGGAACTGGTTTTCGTGGCTGACCATTAAAAAAGCAGAGTAGCGGCGGCACCGTCATCAGACATTTGGCTTCTTGCAGTTCAAAGTCACGCGAAGAAGCAGTCGAGACGGCTTTATGATGCATCTGTGGATGACGAGGCGAGGTCTTTGCCCCTGGGTCAGCAGTTCAGAGCTGGGTGAATGGTGGGTCGCGGTCGCTAATGATGTCAAATGATGTTTTATTTACGCCCGTCCAGAGCTCAATTGGATGATTATGTGGTGACGGAGCGAGCTCTCGCCTAGCAAATTATGAGAGATTATCGTTTATGCAAATCAAGGCTCAATCAATTTAATTCGTGCTGCTAAATTGATTGTACCCCAACAGCAACAGTGGCACTATTGGCACTGGTGGTCCCCGTCGCCGTCTGGTCCCCTCCTAATGGGGCTCTGCAATTAGTTCACTTTGTTGTCCTTGGCATGCCTATGAATGCCGTTTTTATTGGAAGCTGTGGATTTACTTCTTTTTTTTTATTTTTTCCAAAAAAATACAAGTATGTGGCTTGTTTACCATCGGACGGACGGACGGACAGACAGACCAGGCCAGGCCATCATGCTCGTAAAGCTTTTGTGTGTGTGTAGTGTGTCTCCTTCTGTAAAACTGGTTTGCATTTTTACATTGGGGATGGATCGGATTTGATGGCCTTAAATTGGTTCAAGTTCATCTTTATGCACAATCCATAAAATGAAGAAAGGTCTTCGGCCGCCTTGTGCTAATTAATTGAAAAGGCGACAGGTTTAAATTTGTTTTTGGATCCCCCCCTCTTTGCCAGATAATGCGCTGTATTTACGGTGCATCTCAAAACTGTAAGGACAGTGGTAGTACAAATTAAAGGAATTGGAAAGGGTTTGACCTTAGGTAATATCTTTGATGGGGTGATTCACTAATTTGATTCACTAATTGGACAATGACCTACATCAGAAAGTGGTGTCAACGAAATCATTTACAGAATATATGTATATCATATATTTATCATTCATGGAATGCATAGTTCTCCAACCGACTGTTTTATTGAGATGATTCAGATTTTAGAGATCCGCACGACGTTAAACTTACACGACTCATATTGAACTTTGGCATCGATGGATAGTTCGGGCAACGTCCAAATCCATAGGCATTTGTCTCCGCCGCAAAGGCCAGTAGGAACACACTTGAGACCATCGCCATTCCAAATGGCGAAATATGGCGGAACGTTTGCTTGCCCATGATTGCTTGATTGTATTTCTTTTCGTTTCTTTTCTTTTCCAATTTGATTTCACTTTGAATGCTCTGTGAATGTGATCTATCACTTTACACGCGAGAATTGGCACAGATCCGATGGATAAATGCTTCTAACTAAACCGAATAGAATTCAGAAACGAGTATTTCTGTTATTAAGGCAATTGATGTGAGTCACTTGGCTATGCACAGAGTGATTTCCGTCAGTGATTTGGGTGTCACTGAGCCTGAGGGCTTGGTGGCATGGGGGCTTGGGGGAGGAACAGGTTTACTTGGCCAACGAACTATGGATTTACATTTCCTCAAAGTACTCGTATTGGGTTTGCCCATTAATATTCCGCAAGGGAAATGTGCGATAATAAAAACGTGCTGCTTCTGTTGCCGCTGTCGCTGCTGCTGCTGCTGGTCTTCCAGTGGAGGAGCCGGCTGGAGGAGGAGCCACTCGACTCTGTGGCTCTGGACATGGATGACTGGCGAATGCAGTCGGCAAAGAGTGAAAATAACAGCCGAAACTAGGTTGACCAGCGGCGTTACGTAAAGAAAAGCCCGAGCAGCGCCAAGTCAAGCGAGCCCAGCCCCAAGTCCCCGAGTGCCCGATCCGATTCCGATCCCAGTCCCAGCCCCCATGCGAAATGCAGGTGGAACAGGTTGGACGACGGATTTCGCACACCGCTCACAACACACCCGAACGAACCGTAGGAAAATGATTGCGCATTCGCGAATGAATAAAAGCGAAAATGGCTAATCAAGGAAGCGCAGGGAAACTTGATGCCGTCAATTGTGTCATGAAGTTAATCGAGTGCATTGCTCGATTTATGCTCGAATGCAGCGGGATCATCAAGTTCAAGATAAGCCCCATTAGCTGACAGAAGGAAGTAGTCCATAACATTGTTGCAGCCACTGTGTTTGCCATTACCACATTGGGGGAATATGATACTTCCTAGGCCCCTCTGGGCCCAATAGGAAAGTGTTAATTTCACAGTTAACACAGAAATACGCTTAAACGAATCGCACAAATGGTAAACAATGGTGGCTGTCGTTGTTCAGTTGCAAAATATTGTTACTGCCCGAAGTCTGATTTCACTTTGTGTACAAGCACTCGTATGTCAGTATCTTTATCCATACATACGCACTCATGGGTGTGTATCTGTAAAATGCACTCGTTGTACCGCCTTTTAAATGCTGTCTCTTTGTTTACATCGTTATACGTATGTGGCATGCGTACGCGTTCTTTTCATTTGTAGTTTTATCTCGATATCACGATATCACCGCGCTGAAGCCGTGGACCGACCGAACCGTTGAAAGCTAATGAACGGTGAACGGAAATTTAAATTGAACTTGATTCTCCGCACTCTGGTTACACTCGAACAGATCTATCGATGTTCTGGTATCGATAGTAGGCGGAGAATATGTGCGTATATTTATTCAGATGCCACTCAGTTTATTTTATTAATATTCTCTTGCTAGCCAGTTAAGAATTTGTTTCAATCTCAGTGAAAGTGGAGAAAGTTTAAATTTGTGCCAACATATAATATTTATCCGATATTTGACTGTGCAGATATCTGCTTTGCCCATCTCTAGCTAGCAGTGAAATGCAGTGAAATTGTAAATTTTTTTCGTTTTGCTGTAATGTGAATTTTTCTAGTTTATTTTGGAATATTTTATTTAATAACACGAAATTTAAGAGAACACATATTAGCGTAAGTTGCCGGTCAGGTGCAAGTGACCGTGGACGCCCGCCAAGTCATACGTTAACCACGCTTTTCTCAGTGCCCTTTGTTCCATGTTCCAATATTTTACATACTTTCGTCTTCTAGGAAAATATGGACACGGAGAAATCTAGCAGCAGCTCCTTTGAGGATCTGACGAATGCCGAAGACACGAAGGATTTACGTAAGGCCACAGCCGAGGCAGCCTCTGAAGAAACATCAGCAACAACGACTCTTGTCGGTGATGCGGATAAGGGAGAAGAGGCCGAGAGTGAAAGTGAATGTGATATATTGGGCAACAAGCAGCTGATAAAGCGCATCATCAAGAAGGCACCGGAAGATGCCAAAAGTCCCAGTCGCGGTGAACTGGTAACCATAAGTTTTACCGGCAAACTCGAGGATGGCAAAGTGGTAGAGGAGGAAAAGAACTTTCAGTGTCATGTTGGAGACTATGAGGTTGCCCAGGGCTTGGATATGATACTGCCCATGCTGAAAGTGGGTGAAGTCGCCGAAGTGGTTGTGGATCCCAGATTTGGCTACGGGACTCTTGGGCTAAAAAAAGACGACGGGGACTTCATTGTCCCACCTAATGCGCTTGTAAGTGTGAAGCCAGCCAAATCATGAAAATTTAGCTTCATGTCTACCTTACAGCTTACTTATGAAATAGAGCTGCTGGATAGCAAATACGAAGAGTTTGCCGATCTGAAGACCTTTGAAGTGATCCGCAAATATGGGTTTGTTAAAGCACAGCTCCATGTCCATAGCACATGATCACAAGAAACTCGTTCCCTTTCCAGAACCCGCAAGAAAGAGCGTGCCAATTACTTTTTCAAGCGGTTGGAATATAATACTGCCATTCACTTGTACAGACGCGCTCTTGACTATTTGGACACACGTGATGGGGATCCGGAATCTGAATTTGGCAAAGAAGATTTGCAAGTGAGTGAAACGAATAGTGACGTGTCCCTAAAGGGACTAAAGGGACAACTCTAAAGGATCCCTTTGACTAGCTCTCCAACAGTGAAACGCAGGCCATTCTGGATGATCGTTTGATTGTCTATAACAACCTGGCCATGACTCAGATCAAAATTTCGGCCTTCGACGCAGCCCTCAAGTCTGTGGAGAATGTCTTGCGGTGTCAGCCGAATAATCCAAAGGCCTTGTATCGCAAGGGAAGAGTAAGTACAAAATATAGTTTATATTCCTGTTCTTAGTGTGTGACCAAACATTTTGTTTTAATCCCCTCCAGATTCTGGAAGGCAAGAACGACACGCAGGGTGCTATTAAGTTGTTCCAAAAGGTGGCTACTCTCGAGCCTGAAAATCGTGGAGTTCAACAAGATCTGGCCAGGCTTTTCATCAAGGCGCGTCGCGATCAACACAACGAAAAAGAAATGTATCAGAAGATGTTGGGCCAGGCCAAGAAAATGGAACAAAAGACTGCTGCCCGACAAAAGCAACCCCTCGTGGAAAATTCCAAGGTTCTTAAATCACAAAAATAGAATTAACACAACTGCCTTCAACTACTCTATTTTTTTGTGTGCTTGCAGCTGAAACTTCTGGGCTATCTAATGGGTTCTATATTGATTGGCGTCGCTGGCGTTGCCATTTATCGTTACAAGTACTAAGGACAAGACTTGCACTCGATATCCACTGTGTAATTTGGGCAAATGAAATGCATTTTGAAAACTATACACAGAACAGTCAAAATTATGAACGTTGAAATGCCGTAATTGCTTACTTCTAAACAAATGGCTCTTGTTGTACAACTTACACTATGCACACTTACAGTAGTATGTATTTGTCAAAGGTATGGTTTTGGATAATATACATATGGATAATGTTAATGCTTAGTTCTAATCAATTACATTCTTTTTTAATCAAGTACCAGGAATTGTTGAATAAAGCATACTTTTCATTTACTCATTAATGGAATGCATTTCCAGGCGATTGCAACTATTCTTTCTAGTCTGTCTTGTTCTCTGTGGTTTCTTTCGGTAAGAATGGATATTCTGTGCATAGTAGAGCATGGCTTTAGGTTAGTGAGAGTCTTAAGCTCAAGGTTCCAGTAAATTGAAAAATATCCTTACATTTAATCTCTCATTTCCGATTAACGCATTTAAATTGAACGGTTATCGAACCCAAAAATGAGCAACATTGCTGGTATATTTATGCTATTTGTAATGGTATTTTTCATTCATTTTGCGGTATATTAGAGAACATTCCCTCCATTTTGTGCTATATTCAAGTATATTTCATCCAATTTCTGGCATATAATGGTCTATTTATTCTATTTTGTAGTATATTTTAACCACACGCCATAGGCAAAATTTAGCACATTTTCGATGCTGAATCATTGCCCCGCAATATTTAATTAACTGCACAAAACGGTTGTTTTTGCAGTGTCAGTAGAGTTGTGCAGCTTTAAAAATCAATTTTATATTTCAATACGTAGCAGCCGAAATGCAGAAGGTTCTACTGCTGCTGGTCGCTTGCCTGGCATTGGCTGTGGCCGATTCCAACTCACGTTTGCTGCGAGTGCCGCTAAATAGATTCCAGTCAGCCCGCAGACATTTTGCCGATGTGGGCACAGAACTGCAGCAATTGCGCATTAGATATGGAGGAGGCGATGTACCAGAGCCCCTCTCCAACTACATGGATGCCCAATACTACGGACCAATATCGATCGGCTCCCCTCCGCAAAGCTTCAGGGTGGTCTTCGACACCGGCTCTTCGAATCTATGGGTGCCGTCGAAGAAGTGTCATCTGACCAACATTGCCTGTCTGATGCATAACAAGTACGATGCTAGCAAGTCGTCGACCTACGCCAAGAACGGAACAACATTTGCCATCCAGTACGGATCGGGCAGTCTTTCCGGCTACCTTTCTACCGACACACTCTCGATGGGTGGCCTGGACATCAAGGGTCAGACATTTGCTGAGGCACTGAGCGAGCCCGGTCTGGTGTTTGTTGCTGCCAAGTTCGACGGCATTCTCGGACTCGGCTACAGCTCGATCTCTGTGGATGGGGTCAAGCCACCATTCTACGCCATGTACGAACAGGGCTTGATCTCGTCACCCGTGTTTTCCTTCTACCTGAATCGCGACCCAGCTAGCCCTGAAGGTGGTGAAATCATTTTCGGAGGCTCCGATCCCAAGCACTACACCGGAGACTTCACCTACTTGCCTGTCACCCGCAAGGCGTACTGGCAAATCAAAATGGACTCGGCCGCCCTTGGCGATCTGGAGCTGTGCAAAGGTGGCTGCCAAGTAATTGCTGACACTGGCACCTCTCTTATTGCCGCTCCAATGACTGAGGCGACCTCGATCAATCAGAAAATAGGTGGCACACCCATTATTGGAGGACAGGTGAGCTTTCAGCATTAAGTGCCCAAGGGAAGTACTAATCTCTGTCTGTATCTGATTCTAGTATATCGTTTCCTGCGACCTGATCCCCAAACTGCCGGTCATCAAGTTCGTGCTGGGTGGCAAGACCTTTGAGCTGGAGGGCAAGGACTATATTCTCCGTGTGGCCCAAATGGGCAAAACAATTTGTCTGTCTGGTTTCATGGGCATTGACATCCCCCCACCAAATGGCCCGCTCTGGATTCTGGGTGATGTCTTCATTGGCAAATACTACACCGAGTTCGACATGGGCAATGACCGTGTGGGCTTCGCAGATGCTAAGTGAATAATTAAATACATTATACTCGAACACTAAAGTGTACTTTATAGCTTCCACAATTGGGACTTTACTTTCTTCGATTGAGCTCGTGAAATAAAAATTAACTTATGTATACCATTTCTTTGTTTGCTTTGCTCCGACGTTGTTATTGTCCCAACGGGCTATCAGCTTTCTGCAAAATTATCAACACTTTTTTTTGCTTTCGTTGCAATTTGATAACGTTTGAGCTTTATGGGATTGACTATATTATGTATGTACGATTTTTCTTTGTTTGTTAACATTGCACAGACTCATCTAGCAACACGATTCGCTGTTCTTTCCACTCTATTAAACCTGTATAATATGTATTTAATATTTAAACACTATATACATGATTAGCAACACGGTGCGCTGCTTGTTTACACTCAATTAATATGCATGAATGTGTATGTGCGTATATTATATATTTGTACATATGTAATAAAATATATATATATGGGCATATAGAAAGCTTAGACGCACCTGCCGATAACATATTGCTGGGAATCAACCAAGCCGACTGTGCCAACTGAGTCATCTTCAATACCAATCACTATAATCGCCCAGGATTAAAGTGCATGATATACAGAAATTACTTGAAGAATGGTGGTGGCTGTGACACTATTGAAGTTGTATTTTATCAAAGACTATACAATACCAAGATGCTGGATGGCAGGGTATTTCATGACGCCCCGTAGACTAAGGGCGCGCACGATTTCAATTTGTCTCTAAACGCGGCCCGCTCCTGTTTCACCTACATATTTCTACAGAATAGCATGTAGATAGCCTTTACCCCTGTAACCGGGTCTGAAAACAAGTGTCGCGTGTATGCTCTTCGGATTAATCTTTACTCTGACGTACAACATTCATCATTAAACTCTATAGAGAGCTTTTTGGCGAGACTCGCGTACATACATACTCGCATGAGCATCGCTTTGAATTCTTCAATGGAACTTCTCATGTGCGGTCATAGTGCCCATGGAGCGTACTTTGTACTCTTGACTGAATCAGCACGAATCAGAAATCGCCAACGCTGAGAACCCTCTATAGATATACTTGAACATAGTGCCATTTTGTTGTTGATTTGTAAACAATGAGTTTATTACACTATAAAAATAGAATTTGGATAGATAGGGGGGGGTGAGGTGACTGTTTAATACTAGGCAAAGACACTAAACTAGTAGATGCAGGGTAGCGTGCTTCTGGGACTTTAACTTCTTATTTCGACTTGATATTGGTCGCCAGATCGTCATCGGACGTCGCTGTGGCCGTTGGGGCCGCCACTTCGTCACTGGAGGGGACGGACACAATTTCGGGTTGGATCTCAACGGTCTTGGCCGTGCTCAGGCTTGGCTCACGCTCCTCATCGGACTCCGTCGACTCTCGAATTAGCTGGAGAGGGTTGATTAGCTTGCTATCTTGCACCTTGTACATATCACAGGTTTCGTTCACATAGCGGTTGAACACGTCCGGCTTGTCGGCATACACATGGTGGCCGGCGCCAGTTACGATCTTGATGTCCACCATGTTGCTGCCCCGCTGAGACTTGATCTTCTCGCCCGAGGAAGAGTCGATCCAGGAACGGGACCCGTATATGAATGTGATGGGTATATCGCTGCGCACATCCTTGATTCGGTTGATCATCGGGTGCTTGGCCCAGCCGAAGGACTGCATCATGGTGTGGAAGGCCGACTCGCCGCTGGGATGCTGGGCGTTGCACTGATGTATGTACTGGGGCAACAGGTTGATGTCCTCCTCGATTGTGGTCTGGAACTTGCGCATTATGTCCGGTCGCGTCTTTTGCACCACCCACTGGCCAAAGGGTCCAGCTGCCCGCAGGGCCCACAGCGGATTTAGCGGAGTCAGCACTCTCGCTATGGCCCTAACCCACAGGGGAATCTGTTTGGTGTTGTTGGGATCTGTGGGTTTCTCGGGGAATCCCCATGGGTCAGCCAGCACCAGATGCTTGACGCGCTCTGGATAGCTCAAGGCGTAGCTGGAGGCTATGAAGCCACCCATCGAGTGTCCCAGCAGGATCATGTCGTTGATGTTCATCTCGCGCCGCCACTCCTCCACAGATTTGACGAACTGTTTCTCACACACAAGGGCATCCTTGGCGAAGGTGGGGCGAGAGCTGCGGCCAAAGCCGAGGATGTCCATGGCATAGACGGGTCGTCCCTTGGCAAAGGCATCTAGGTTCATCACCCATAGAGCTATGCCAGCCCCCAAGCCATGCAACAGGACCAACGGCACCTCCTTGGACTCTGTGTTCATGCTAAGTGTCCAGATCTTGTCAGCATCTCCCACAGCCGGACCGATGTCGACGAAAAATCCACGATAGGGCAGCTTCAAGTACGAAAGAATCTTCTTTTCCACGGTACGCAACATGATCGGTGAGCTTGATGTCCAGTTAAATATCCATTTCCATAGCCAGAAACTGTTGTTTTTCGGATCCTGAAAGAGAAACGAAAATCATATTAAAATGTTGGCCAATCTAAATGCACTTTATCTACATTAATGTAAATTTTATGCTAACTGAGAGCTGGCCCCCTAGTCCATCCCCCAGCGGTATACCGAATTACTTAACCCACGAGACACGAGACACGAGTCTATTGCGCAGTTGGACAGAAATCGACACCCAGGCTCATGGATTTTCCTGTTCTGTTTGGCTTCCGCTTCGCTGCTCCTTACCTCTAGATCCATTCCCGAGTTAAATCTCTGGGCGACTGTGGGCAGCGGCAGTGCAGCATTTTTGGCGATGTTGGCATCGTTTGCCAATGTCAGCGATTCGCTCATTATGCTCTTAATTTAGATTTTCGTTACTCTTAAGTTTGTTGCGTCAGCGTGGGGGAAATTGTACAAATTTAGAAAGGGGCAAACAAAGCAAACCGCACAACTACTGAAAATTAATGTCTCTCCTCCACCATATGCGTCTTCTGTGTGTGCTTCCGCCTAGAGCTCAGAAATTTAAATGTATTGTTGAGACGAAAGTAAAATCTAATTGTACCCTTTCCTCGCCAGCTGTGTGTTTGTCGAGTTGTGATGACTTTGAACTTTTGTTAGATGGGATGTCTGGAATGCTTATCAATATTATGGTGAAATATATTTTGTAGGGCAGCGTAGTGGTCGGCAGGCCCTATCTTTCGTGCAAGCAACAAAAACAATTGCAGCTCTAGTCACACAACCAGCTGTTTCTGGCAGTGCTGGTAAACCAACCCAATTTTGCCAACACTAACGCTTCAGTACGACTGTATTCAGCAGGCGATCAGAAGGCCAAGTGCGTGTGCTTCTTCCTTGTATAGTTGTCTATAAGTATATTCTGTTTATCAAATTAAATTAAAAATATATTATTAAATATAATCTAATGTACGAAACCTGTTAAATGGTGGCCGCACATAAACAGCAAATGAGGCTCTGGTCACACAACTAGCAAAACAGTGCAGGTAACCGTGCGTATACTCGTCGGTTGTAGCCAAAAAACAACAAACATACATTTTGATAACATAACCGGGTCTTCTTCTTCTTGTCAATTGAAGATTTCAAAAAAGTTGTTATCACAAAACCAAATAAAAACATATAGATGACCGGAAGGAAAAACTTATTCCGGATGAGATGTGACGAAGAAGCAGAAACCCTTACACTACGGTCACTCTAAACGGGACTCACGCGGAATGGATGGCATTAATAAATACAATGAATTTGTGGCTCTCCACAAGTCCCAATTGGAATCATTGTCTGTGCCAGTGCACCTTTGGCCAGCTCTTTATCGGAAGTTGGCTGCAGAAACCTTTGATGCCGGCGAAGCTCTGCAGCTGATGTTGATTGACTACGACGAGGATGAAGACGAGCAGAACAGCGCCGACGATGACGATAGCACCCACCCAGTGTTTGCCTTGGGAGTGGCCCGTGAACAGGGAATTAAAGCAAGCGATCCCCTAGCCGTTTACTTGATAGACCATTGTTGGACCTTTCGGCTGGACAGCGCCCGCCAGACCCTGGAACAGAACCCCCAACTGGCAGATCGATTGTCTGCCATAACCGGCGTGGATCTGGAGCATGAGCAACGCGTTGAGAAGATACTGAAACGCCTGTGGAGGTACTGTCATGCCTATTCTATTCTCACCGGCGGTAACTCCGATGAGGAACGCATACCCATATGGTATGTGATGGACGAAATCGGTTCGGCCGTAAACCACTCGGATGACCCAAATTTCCGCCTTGTGCCATTCCTCTACCTCAATACCCAAACCACTTATAGTATTCTGTTTCCAATCAAAGATTGTGAGCAAAATGAGCTATTGACCCGGGATATGATCGAGTATGTGGCCAAGGATGCACCACAAAGAGCTGCCCTGCTATTGCCCTGGCGCGACGATAATTTAACTGCCGAGAGCTTCTTGCAGGTGGAGCCCAGTGCTGACTACTTTACCAGTGGACACATACCAGAAACGTATCCCAAAATGAATACCAATGTCTTGCCAGCTCCGAATCGATGCGATTCGTTAAAGGTTTATGCTGAGTACGAGGTGGTCCGGCAGAATTTAACAGATACAAATTTCCTCTTGGTAAACGCTGAAGAGGAAGCCGATGTGTTGTGGCTCACCCACCACTTCAAAGAATTTGAGGAATTTTCCGAGAAGACGCCTCGTAAATTCGTCAATCAGTTTCCATTTGAATACGTAATCACCATCAAAGATCTGCTCAGCATTGTGTGTCGTCGGGCAGCCAAAGAGCATCACGATGCAGCCACTTTGGAAACATATCCCGCCTGGTTGCCCACCACCTACAATCTGTCGACAGAGCTGACAGAGTTTGTCGCGTATTACCAGTCGAGGGCAGTCAAAGGTCTGGACAACCATTGGATCGTCAAGCCCTGGAACCTGGCTCGCGGTCTGGACACTCACATAACCGACAATATTAAGCAAATTGTGCGTCTGCCAATCACTGGCCCTAAGATTGCCCAAAAGTATATCGAAAGACCTGTTCTGTTCCGTCGCACAGAGCTGGACTGTCGGGTCAAGTTCGATATTCGGTATGTCATACTGCTGAAGAGCGTTCAGCCCCTGGAGGCCTATGTCCATCGGAAGTTCTTTTTGCGCTTTGCCAATCATCCCTTCTCCATGGACCACTTCGACGACTACGAGAAGCACTACACGGTGATGAACTACCAGGAGGAAGCGGAACTGCATCATGTCAAATGCGATGACTTCCTGGCTCTCTGGCAGGACCAGTATCCGGAAAATGATTGGACAGTCATTGAGCAGCAAATCTGCGATATGCTGCTGGAGGTTCTTCAGTGTGCCTGCCAAGAGGCACCGCCCTGCGGTCTGGCCCCTTGCCGCCAGTCCCGGGCACTCTATGCCGCCGACATCATGCTGAAATGGACGGACGAGGACAAGAAAGTCCTGCAGCCACAGTTGTTGGAAATCAATTGGACTCCCGACTGCAAGCGAGCCTGCGACTACTATCCCAACTTCTTCAATGACATTTTCAAGTTGCTTTTCCTGGACGAGCACAATAACGAGATCTTTAGACAATTGACGTCAGTCAACTAATATACGTTCTTATCACTTATCCGTGTATTTCATTTCATTTAAACTATACACAAAACTTAATTATTTTGCATTTTGTACAATATACAAATAGGTGTATGCTTCTATGCGTGGGATGATAACTAATTATGGTTATGCTTATGCTTAGGGCCTAATCTAGGACAGACAAGTCAGCAAGTCAGTAGTCAGTGGGTGGTGTGTCTATATAACTTATGGTCTATCATAGCTTGGATAAGGTAGGACAAATTCAAGTGTGGACAAAGTCTGTCTCTGTCTGTGTGGAGTTCAAAGAGTGAGAGCTTAATGCTAAAATGTTTTACAATTCTCAATTGCAAATGGCACTTGATGAACGATGTACGATAGTAAATGAAAGGCAATTTCCGTTTGTACCCAACTATAAAAGATACTTCCATGAATATACAAATATAAGGCAATTTATAAGGCACCCAAAAAGTCAAGGGAAATCAGAAATAGAATAAATACGTTCCAATGCGTAACAAAAAAGTCCTTCCGTAAAATAGCATAAGAATTTAAATCCATTCTTCATTCTTCTTGGCCTAACTCTGAATAATACAATTACCAACTAATAGTGTGTGAAAATGCAGAGGAGAAAACCTCAATGAAATGAATGAATCTTACACTAGCTTCGTCTAACGTCTGGTTACCTCTAAGTGAATGCAACTACCGTATCGCTTACACAACTAACTATCGACTATAACGGAGACCTAAACGCAGGCCTCGTCAAAGTCCAAGCGTATCTTCTCATCTGCGGAAGCTAGCTTATGTATAGTCTTTTTGATGCGAAGGGCTGGCAGACGAACATTTGGGTTCTGGTGCCAACACTCCTTCATTAGCTTGGACATGCCGGCCAGCAGCTGTAAAATAAAACCAATTAGAATTCAAATTCAGAAAATTACAAAGATTGACCTACAGAATCTGAGCTCCAGCGATTGGGAATGGAGGGTCTGTAATTGTCAGTGCAGACCACTTTGCGCATATCCTCAAAGCTGGGATCCATGGGCACCACATCATAGAAGGGCACTTTGTATTCCTCAGCAATGCCGCACGAGATGGTGCGGCGACAAACCTCCCACAGCACCAATCCAAAGGCATAAATATCCGTACGGCGCAAGGCCTCAAAGCATTCCAAGTCGATGCTCTCATCCAGAACCTCTGGTGCCATGTATCGCTTCGTGCCAACCTTCGGATTGTGGCCCAAGTCGAGCTGTCCCGTGACATGGGAGTGGGTGACAGCCAGGCCAAAGTCGGCTATCACACAGGTCCCATTAGAAGTGACCAATATGTTCTTTGACTTCAAATCTCTGTGCGCCATGGCTGGCTTTCCCTCAGTGCCGAAAATTTCCGTGTGCAAGTGGACCAAGCCGTTGGCTATCGACAGGCAGATCCAAATCATATCGTTGTGACTTAGGGCATTGCGATTCAAGTGATCGAACAGCGACCCCAGCGGGTAGTAGTGTGTCATGAGCCAGAGTTGGGTGCACGAGTTTCGCGACGTCATATCAGAGCCAATGAAGCCGAGAATGTTCTCGTGGCGCAGCAAAACAGTGCTGCAAGAATATAAGTCCCAGGATTGACTATCATTTCAAAATTGGAGCAGCAAACGTCAGTTCTCACCTGTAGATTTCCGTCTCCCGCTTCCAGGATTCCTCGTCGCGACTGAAGAATATTTTGACGGCTATGCTCTCGCCATGCCAATGACCACGCCACACCTCGCCGTACTTGCCTCGCCCAATGCACTCGATCAAGGTCACCTGCTTGGCCAGGGTACGCTGCACTAGCAAGGGTAGACCACTGCCCGATCCAGACGTCACCGAATGCTGCAGGTATTCACGAAGGGTGCTGTCCCCGGCGCTGGTGGCACGCAACAGCTCATCATTGACTAAATACGACTCGGGATCCTGTTTGGTGCGCGAGGCAGCCAAGCGCTTGCGGTGGCTCCGCCGTATATAATAGATGGCAACGGCGCCCAGCAGAGTTATGATCAGAAAGGGTCCCAGAATGGCGGCGGACATCTTGCTGATGTTGCTGGTATCCGCTGTTATGACTGTCACATCGCCGCTGACGATCGGCGGCAGCTCGGGGAAATCTCCGCTGTTGCAGAAATCCCCGGTGCAGCAGGCCACGTTATACTTGGCAGCATTCCGCTTGGTCGGTCCATTTAGCTTATTCAGAGAGTTTTGGTTGCAAATCAGCGGCAATTGATCCGGTGATGTTGTGCAGCCCCGCCTAACGTTCTCCTGACCATCGGCATCCCGTGTGCGCGATTTCCAGCACTGAGGAAAATAGAAAAGTACCTCTGTCAAGGGGATGGATTCGTAGTTTAAATGAAAACACTCACCTGAATGGCATTCTGGCATGTGTGTGACAGCTCCAAAGGATCGAGACATGGCGGGTCACAGGAGTAGCATTTGTATCTGTTTATGGATAAATGGTAATTAACGAAGTGTGGAAGGCTTAGAAAAGTTTGCGCTTATGATCTAAAGCCACAGATAATCCCTCAAGCGTAGATTTTACCTTCTTTTCATGCGTCGCTTACTCTTTATGTGTCTCCTGTTCAGAGACAAGCAGCGTGAGAAATGGGGGTAGTGAAAGGGATTAGCATATGAAACTTCTAGCCGGATGCCAGTGATTGTAATAATGACCCATGAATTCAAGTCTTAACGTAAATATGTATTTGTTTTTGAATATCACCTGGGATGCGTTTGCACCGAGTTCTGTGGCACGGCTGGGAACTCCTTTCCATTCATATGAGCGGGCAATTCCATGTCTATTTCCTGGTTCTCTTCCAGCAGGCGCTCACTGATTTCAGCTGCAAGACAACATGAAGATGTTACACATACACCGAAACACAGTCTCTCTCTCTCTGTCGCGTACACACACCACACACAAAATTCTGTATACGCACAGAGCGTGCGTGTGTGTGTGTGTGCGCGAGTAAATCATTAAGAAAATGCACTTTTATGCTTCGTACGCCCACGAAAGCGTACAATCCCCTTTATATAATGACATTTCCCAGGCGGAGTACGTCGAGTTTTCACTCATTTGAATGCAACCAACTTATTTTCAGCTCCCGCATCGACATATACGCAGCGCAATCGGTCGGATCAGTAGCATATGAAAACAAATCAGGGCTGTCCAAACACACACAATAGCCATAGCCGTAGGCAGTTTTTCAATCACTTTGTGGGAGCTGCAGAAACCACCGTATGGGCGGTCTGCGATATGCTCCCGATTGCTGACACATCCAGCTAAAACGCGAGACCGAATCAAACGTACCTCGTGCATTTTTGTATACCAAAAATGACAATAGAAAAACTACAAATAAATGGGACTCCATTGCTCCATTCCGTTTTGGGGATGCCAGTCAATGTGACCGTTCAAAAAGAACCTGACCCGATTCAAGTTCGGCTTTTAGGGGGTTAAGAACAAATTATTTATAAAAAAGGCGCAGGCTAAATTCGGTATATTTTTCAAGTGAGACCGTATATACTGTAGAAACTGGTTTTCGCCGCGCTCCCATGTGGTGTTTTTTAGTGCTAAATGGTATTTTTGTCATCTATTAATTTAATTTTCAATTTTATATAGAAATCCAATAAATGCAAGTATTTCGAATAGGCCAATCATGTATAGAATTGATTCATCAATCGTGTAAAATTGAGTGGGCATTGCTAAATCTTCCATATAGATAGTATTATTCAACGGAACAAAGAATATGAGAAAATTTGAATTCGCCGCAGTTCGCCGCAATTCGCTTTGGCAACAATGAGTCTCATTCCATACACAAATGTTGCGCATTCCATACACAAAAGTTGCGGCAACATTTACTTGAAACCCGTATTTTAGTCAAAATAAAATACATAAAGGTAATTAAAAGAAGCAATCTTGTAGAAAATGCATTAATCTATGGGATAATGCTAAGTGGGCAAATCTATATAGCTTGAAATATAGGCAATATCCGATTCGCCGCAGTTTCGCTATTGCAACAATGAGTCCCATTCCATACACAAATGTTGCTAACTCCATGCACAAATGTTGCTAATTCCATGCACACATACCCTGTGGCAAATGGATGTTATAGAATTGTGAATACGTTTGTCTTCCAAGGCTCAGGATCGAGATAAATATATACAAGATACTAATAAGCCACATGAATAAGTTAAAAACATATCAATTTGAGAAAAGGTCTTAATAAATTACGTTTGATCTTCATATAAAATTAGCGAAATAGGGTGTACAAAGGGCTATACACGCATCACGTCTTCAAATACCAGCAACATTGCGACTGATTTTTTGTTGAACTATTTTGTTTAAACCTTGTTTTAGTCAAAATACAATAAAAGCAAGTAATAAAAATAAGCCAGTTAAGTAGAAAATTGATTCATCAATTGTATAAAATTGAGTGGGCATGGCTAAATGTTCTATTTTGCTAGTAATATTGAACGGAAGAAAGAAAACGAGGAATATGTATAACAGAACTTGACTTCGTCAGGTCACACTGCTGTTTAGCGTCAGCGAAACTGGTATTAAAAAAGAGGGATTTTCAACTAACAAAACAAAATTGTATTATATTTAAATCTGCTAAGCTAAACGCATATTAACTCGATTTGAAGGTAAGTTTCGTTCTCTATTCAAGTTTTTCTCTTCTCCAGTTTGGAAAGGTCTCTAGAGTAGGCTTGCAAGAGACGATGCTGATTTGTTGTTCCACATCTGATACATGGAAAGGCATGGCACCTACATGCATATGTACATATTCAGGACTGTCGATGGCTATTTATATGATTTCTTCGCCGACCAGTATAGGCCCTCCTTTAATATCAAGTTTGGTCCGACCGGTTTCACATCATTAGAGAAAATCAATTAGTTTTACTCTGTATCGATCAAACAAGAGTTTTCCTTCCTTCCCCTTACCCCACACTCCACTACGAACATGTGTTTGGTCACGTAACTGTTATAATTTTCCCAGTTTTCCTCTGGGAAAGGAAAGATACACACAAACCGAAGAGAAGAGTCTTCTATTCCCCTATCTCTCTTCCAGACTTGTGCTTGCATGTGAATACATGTTACTTACATTATTATCATTGGTCTTAAGTGTGTGGGTGGTGGTGGTAAATACGAAGGAAACCATAACATTTAGTATGGCTGCGCAACAAATCGCACTACATGGGGGAACACAATACATAGAGAACCTCGCTAACAGCAGAGGAAAACACAAACAATTGGGGGCAAGTGGTTTTTTCGCTTATCAAGAGCCCCTCTCTGCGCAGCTCCTCCACGCTATTCGTTATTCTCTCAGTGCCGACCGACCCCAACAGCCGGCATTTCGTGTAGCTCTCGCCTCATTTCTAAATTCTCGCTCGCCGCGCAAGCACCGTAATAAACACACAAGTGAGTGAGTAGGGAGAGAGGAAGAGGGATCTAAGAAATGAAACTACGCAGTTTGTTTATTTATTGCTGAACAAATAAAATACGCATGGACCACACGCTGCTTACATAATGCGATTATAGTGTCCGCCGGCCACAACTACTACCACACCACTATAAAAGTTACCAAAACACAGTCGGGCCGGCAAATTTTGGCAGACGACCTTACTGCGTCATAAAATTAAAATTTTTACGATTACCTGTAGATGAAGATTAGAATTTCGTGATACATGATATTTATTTGGGTGAGATTTAATTTTGCTGAACGGGGGAAGGGAAGCCAAGACAAGACCTAGGGCAATTGTAGGTGAAACTCTTAAGAGCGTTATATTCCTGCCGGTAGTTTCCGTTATCACTGTTTCCAATACAAATGTACTTCCACTGGCATTGCATCAGCCGTTCTTAATTGCTTTCGTTCACCTTTTTCTCTTTCCAGAAGCACAGCTTGACTGTTTCAAAGGCATTTTCAACGGAAAATCAAAGTGTTCAAGTGTTTTAAGTATAACCCCACTCCACAACAAATCGAAAATAAAAAATATCCAGAAAATATTATTTGTGTAAGAAATATCCAAGTGCAAGTGCAAGTGCGGGAAGAGAGATCATAGATCCGAGAGAGCCGTTAGAGCCATTGTGTAGTGATCGTCAGACAGAGCGCTATGTCAACTGCCGCCGGCTCACGTAAGAAACACTCAAAGCTCCATAATGAAGAGCGCGCCGACATAACCAAGGACGAGTTCGAGGCCATCCGCGAGGCGCTCAGCAAGGAGGAGTTCCGCAAGCTATTCTTCGATTACGTCGAGGAGGTCCAAGACCCGGAGAACCGCAAGATCTACGAGCAGGAGATTACGCAGTTGGAGAAGGAGCGAGGCGTTGACATTAAATTCGTACACCCCAAGCCGGGATTTGTGGTGAAGACGTCCATTGACGGTGAGTTGAAATGCTTCATCAACATTGCCAGTTCGCCGGAGGTTGCCCGGCCCAACAGCGAGGTGGGCATGAATCCGGAGACAGGAGGTCGTGGCCTAAGCTGGTCCATACCCATGGCCCAGACGGGGGGGCGGGACGACTGCGATGCGAAGAACAACCACTGCAAGGTCTTCGATGTGGTCTTCCATCCGGATGCCCTGCACCTGTCCACCCGTGACTCCCAGTTTCGAAAAGCTTTGATCGACACAGCGCTGGACGCCGTCGAGCGCGAGTACGAGGTAGCCCTGGACCGTGCCAATCTGAAGTATCCCAAGCTGGATTATAAGGGCATAGCCCGACCCACTGTGATACGCAAGCTGGCCGCCAATCCCACACCGGAGGAGCAGGAACCGCATCCCCTCGAGCATATGTACCCCACGAAGCCACCCGCCTCCAATTCAGAGCCGAAAATTCTACCCATGAAAACCAAGGCGGCACCAGTGCCGGAGTTCGCGGTGCCCAAGTATTCCATCAAGCAAAGCCACGACGTGGACCTGTCGGAGTACACCGATGAGCTCGATGCCAAGCTGCATGTGACCGTGCCGCGTTCCCTTGTCGTGGAGATTGAACTGCCCCTACTCCGATCCACTGCCGAATGCCAGCTGGATGTGACAGCCAAGTCAGTCTATCTGCTGAGCGAGCGACTGGGTGCCAAGTACCGTCTCAAGCTTGATCTGCCCTTTGTTGTGGACGACAAGGCTGGCAATGCCCGCTTTGACACGGAGAAGCGTCGCCTCAGCATCACCCTGCCTGTGGTGCGCAAGAGTGTTAACCAGCAGCGCCAGATGCACGACACACTACGCTACCTCAGTCGCGAGGACAGCGGAGTGGAGCTGCATTCCAACAGTGAGTCCCCCGTGGAGGATGATGCCGATGGGGACATGCCGGAAACCCCTGAGTTAGGTAGGTGAAACGCTCGAACAGTTACTCTCTCCCTGATCCGTTTCTCATCCAATTTCGTCTCCAATCATCCACAGAGACAGCTGCACCCCCTGATCCGCCCGCCCTGACACCCAGTACGTTCTTAAAGGATTCCGTGCACTATCAACTGCCCAAATTCGACTGCAATGCGCTTGACAATGCCATGGCCTTTGTTCTGGATGTGGCCCACGTCCAGCCGGATTCCATCGTGACATTGAAGACGGACAGGAGCGTATCCGTGAAGTTTGCCACCATTGGCAGTGGCTACTATCCCACGCACTATGCCTTCTATATGGAGCTACCGTCCGTGGATATGGAGGAGTACCATAAGGATCACTGTATCGAAAGCATCGAAGCAGAGGCCTGGGACAACAATGTGATAATGAAGCTTTTTCTCGGTGCCGAGAGCAAGGCCCCAACGAGCTATCTGGCCGGTCTGCATGCCAACGGTCTCAAAGAATATCAGGTCTACGGGCACTACAAGGCAAAGACCGATAAAAATAATGAGTGCGAGCCCAACCCCCCCAGGGTCGTACAGATTATGCGCACGGATGATGCCGTGGTCATCACCGTACGCCCACCACACACTTCCATCACCACGGAGGAGGATGATGAGCAACAGCAGCAGCTGCATAAAAAGCCAAGCAAGAAGCAACGCAAGCGAAACAAGAAGCAACGCTCCTACTCGGAGTCTGCGTGTGAGGAAATGCTCGACCAGCAGGACGGTCCACTGGGGCGCAAGAAGGATGCCACGACACCCATGGTGCCACAGCGCAAGCAACGCAGCTACTCGGAGTGCAACGATAGCACCATTGGCAGCGAGAATGTCAATAGGGGAATCCTCAAGCGGTTCAGTCGCTACGGTCCGAGACCGTCCATGTCGGACAGCTGTTCCTCCATCGATGACTGTGGCTTCTCCTCGCACTCCTGTTCTGTGGATGCATCGAGCTCTCTGTTCTCGCAATCCTTTAATGGAATTCCCGAGGAAGATCGGACCGAGGAAGGCCTTTCGGAGAGCTGCAAGAAGACTGTTAGATTTAATGACCAAATCATGAAGCAAGTGTTTAGGTGAGTTATACGAGTAAATAAGTATAATAAATGAATAAATTTGATGTGTTTTTCCACAGACACGACTCCAGCATCCTCGGTCAGCGCAAGAAGAACCAGAAGCGTCGCAATTGCAAATTGCGTGCTCAGCAGCGTCGCCTCAGCGAGGGGGATTCGGCGGACTACGAGGAGACCCGTGACACCGCCCTCAAGGTAAGATCAAGGCAGATTTGACTGATCTAATTAATGAGAGCTTGTTACGCTGTTAATTCAATTAGTGGCCATCAGCGAAATGTCGTTGTTTGGTCGGAATTTGCCTCAGACCAGACGCCAAATATTGATCCAACTCTTTGTTTGAGTGGATTTGTGAATTTAAATAGAGCCAAAGTTTGATTGGGTCGAATGTGACGATAGTTATTTTAAAACGTGTTAATTGATGTGCAGCTAGAATATATTTCGCCTTCACATGTCCTCCAAATGTCGTCTGTCCGAACTGATTGATGTCTTCTTTATTTTATCAGCAGCAAGGGGAACCATCAGGCAACAAGCTCCACGATAGCGGACTGGATCTGACTGGAGCATCTGCTTCCCACCGTACGGACAACAACTCAAAGTCCTATCGCACTCGCCAGGACCACGCCGATGCTGATGCCAAGAATGATGCCATGATGTTTGAAATGGATGATGAAGACGATGAGATATAAGAGAGTTAAAAGATGGGTATTTTTTTTTTTTGTATTTTTTAAGGAAAAAAAAATGCAATCCATTTTTTTGTAATATTATATATTGTAATTTGTTGGATGTTTCTGCCCAAACTGCTCAAAATTAGTAATCCAAAAAGGAAAAATACAACAAGAAAATATACAAATTGTTATAAATTTGGTTAACTATTGAAAAGAAATTGTTTAATCGTAGCATTAAACCATAATCAAAAGTGAAACACACAGTTGAATAATTTTAAACAACATTTACTTATATCTATACATATATTCATGCACACACAATTATGGCCGAGATGGAATCGGAGGAGTATTCTCTTTTAAAACAGCAGATTGAGGCATTATTTAATCATACACATATTTCATATAAACATTCATTCAACACACACAAAAACAATCACAAAAGTAAGCTTAGATATCAATAGTTAACAAATTCCTCTAGTATTATAAACACACAAGAGCAACAATCCCTGCAAGTAGTGTCTAGGGCCATTTTAAATGTGTGGGATATCTGGCAAACAAAGTGTATGTAATTTTAACTTTTTTAAATGCGCAGAAAGTAACAAAATATACGAGTATATAGTGTGTTGACTAAGACTATCGTAAGACTATCCTCTCAGTGTATTTTGGTCAATTAAATGTGCTGACTATAAAATGGTTCTCAGTGTATGATTTTCTACGGTCTGCGCTGGCTACTCTTGAGCATTCTTTCCCCCGGTTGTCCAAGTACTCCATCAATTGCGTTACTTTGACAAATAATAATAAAAAACCGAGATATACACTTGTTAGAAATTCTCCTCGAGCAGCCTACGAATGTGTGCAATTTGCTGGACATCGCGACGCTTCACCTCCAGCACGTACCGCACGGGACAGTCGAGGGAGTCGCACTGTAGGCTGCCCACACGGCCACAGCAGGACTGGCAGATCTGCTGCGTCAACTGATGTCCGCGCTCCAGGCGCGCCACCTTGTCGGACAGTGTGATAACGCATTTGGTGGCGTCCCTCAGGCATTCGGGACAAATGCCGGCCTTGGTCTGACGGCCGCAATCGATCACACAGCTGGTGGTGGAAAAATACTGGGAGATTGTAGACTTGGCGCCCCGACCGCTGGCCAACTCATTGGCCATGGCTAGGGCGGGCATCATAAGGAGCTTGCGCGGCAGGCTGGTGAACCAATCGTTGACATCGGCTCCCACCAGCAGCAGGCAGCGGTTCAAAGGCGGAATAATGGCCTTGGTGATATAGTAGATGGCATTTATCTTGTGTCCCTCGTTGGCCAGAATGTCGTGAGGACTGCGCACCAGACGAATGAGCTGCATACCCGGCGGCCCGTTGATGATAATGAAGGGTACGCGCTCGCCTCGTCGCGGTATCCGCCTGGGATCCTTCTGCATCCACTTGCTGTGAATGGAGTTTGTTCAGGAGATGGATTCGTGCCGAAATAGCAACAGTTTCTACTCACCGCGTTAGCTGCAGGGCGGGCACACAGGCCGTTGGCTTGTAGCCATTGAGTCCGCGAAACTCCTTGGCAAAGATGAGGTCCTGCAGGTTGGCGCGTCCGGATAGCAGTTTGGTGAACTGCCGACAGACGTACTGCTTCACCTGGCTGACGTCCGCCGTCTCGAAGAGCAGGCGGAGCACCTTCTCCAGCATCTTGGCCACTGCCGGGCAGCCATCTCTTCGCACCGTCTCAATGCCCTTGGCCTCGTAGACGGGCTGCGCCTGGTCGGCCGTCTCGTACATGTAGCCGACGTAGCGCTTCTTGGTCTGGAGCAGGCAGGGCTGGTAGACCTTCTCCAGCTTCAGCTTCACTGGCTGGGGACTCATCTCGGTGACGGCCTGGGCTATCTCCTCGCCTATGCGGAATGCTTCTGCCCGATTGCGACCTGGGACCAAAACAAACATCGAGTCTGTGTCGCCGTAGACCACGCGCACCTTCCACTCCTCGTTGGCCTCCACCATCTTAATGGCACGCTCCAGAGTCTCGCGGCCCTTGGAGACGACCGAGTCGCCCACCTCCACGGCCGGCATGCGTCCGCTGAAGTTGGCCGCCGTATAGCCGTATGTCACGTTGGCCATCAGCTTCAGGCCCAACTGGCGAGAGTGCAGGATCCGCTGGAGGGCAGAGTTCTCCTTGTGGAGCTTCATCGACTGCTTGACCATCAGCCGTGTGTCCAGGATCTCGGTAAGCATGCGCGGCAGGATGCCCTCCCTCACCTCGCGCTTCACAAACACCACGCCGCAAGGCGACACCGTGACCAGGTCGTGCTCCAGCAGCTTCTGGAGCATTTGGCGGGACACACGCAGTTGGGAGGCCCCGAACTCGAAAGGCGAACTCCCACCTAGATGCTCGACCCGGCCCAGGCAGGTGGAGAAGCAGTAGTTGTAGGCAATAATCATGCTGGGGTAGAGACTCTGAAAGTCGAGCACAATCAGGGGATCGGCGTAGAAGCGGGACTGAGGCTCCAGAATCAGCGCTAGATATTCGGGCGCCCGCATGTGCGCCCGCTGCTGGACGCTGGGCGAGAGCGGCACCACGTTCTTGGGCTTGGCAATTCTGGAAAGGTGACGGTAGGTTACCAAAGGACACCAGCCCTCCAAAGGGCATTGTTTCACTCACCTGAGCATCATGCTTTCGACTCGAAACTGCGATCCTCGCGATAGAACCTCGTAGAACTGGATGCCAATGAGCTTGGCCATCTCGCTGGTGCGTCCCAGCAGATCCAGTTGATCGAGCAGCGCCAGCGTACCCCTGACCCGCTCCAGATAGTACTCCAGCACAATCCAGCGGCTGCAGGGCGAGGCAAACCACTCGGTGAGCGTCTTGGGGTTGTGCCAGGGGCAGCGCTTGTGCAGGATATGGTACATTACATTCTCGAAGGTGTAAGAGGTGAGGGCAATCTCGGAGCGCATAAGACGCCACACGTCCAGCAGTATACGCCCACAGAGCTTCATCTCCACGTCCAGGTCGGTGAACTGCTCGCGATCCTCGTCGACAAAGTCACGCACTTTCTGCGTGGGCACACGGGACAGGAGAGGGGCTATGTTGAAGCATAGATGCTTGGCCCGATCGATCACATAGCCCCAGGAGGCCATCTCGATCTCGTAGCCGGCATAAATATCGGCGTCCCAGCGAGCACACAGGGCCAACAGAGCCTCCATTGCCTCTACCTCATTGGATACCACCTGAACTTCGATGTCCTTGTCCAAGCCGTGTATCAGTCCCTCGCTGAGCAGATCCTGGGCATGGTTGACCATGATGTAGCCACAAGCCTTGCTGGGCAGCGACCCATCCGCATCTGCATCCGGAAGGCTGTGCTCGATGGCATAGAACAGACAGCGCATCTCGTCGTGCATCGGATCGGGTTGCAGCTCCCCTCGCGTGGCCACAAACACCTCCAGCGTCATTATGGTCAAATAGTTGCACTCAATGTCCGCCTTGGCCTGCTGCAGGTTCTCCAGGTTCACCTTGAAGCCGAACGTGTTGTCCAGTGTGGCGTGGCTCAGGCCGAAGCTGAGCTCGTGGTGTCCCTCCTGTTGGTGGTGGCCATCCAGCTGCCGCAAGAATGAGGTGCGGTCCAGTTCCGCCTGTGCGGCACTGCTAGACACGCTGCTTTGGTCGCTGGGCTGGGAACTGCCTCCGTCGGTATTCTGCTGGGGTTCCGCTGCTTCGTCTAAGGATGCCATAAAGTTCAGTTTGGTTTCGCGTCTGGATCGCGAGGACTCCTGACCCTTACTGCTTATGGGAGTTCCTTTTGTCCTTGCCTGGGATATTGGTGTGAGGCTGAGGCTACAATCCACATCCTCTTCGTTGTCAGCGTCGCCGTCATCGTTCTGCAGCATCATGGTGATCTTCTGGCGCTTGACCTTGATGGGACTGTCGACATCGCTGCATCTCTCTGGCTCCTCGCGCTGCCGGAGCAGCTGCCTCGCCTTCAGCCAGACCTTGGCCTCCTGGCGGGTGGGCGCCGTTTGTGCCGGCTCAATGGCAATCTTCTGACCACTGCTGAAGTACTCCCGAATGCGTTGTTCGCCCCGATGACGTTGCAGCATGGCCGGGCCACCGATGGCTATAAGTTGCTGACGGCGCCAGGCGGCCAACCCCTTGTCGTTGCCCAGGACGCTTTGAAAGGGATCGCAGTCGTTGAGCTTGTTGCCGGGAATGTGGAGGACCAGGAATCCCACCTCTGTTACCTTGCTCACATCGGCAGGATTGCTGTAGAAGGGCGGCTGGAACTCGTGCTCGGGTATGTCCAGCTTACGGCACCCGCGAGCCACTTCATCGTAGGTGGGTGGCAGCTCCAAGGGAGCAATGACAAAGGGGCCATCCTTCAGCGTGACATGTGCATCTGCAGGAGAAGGCTGGGGGCTGTCTATGAGATCACTAAATACCGACGGACTGTTGATGATCAATGAGTGCTCATAGAAGCTCTTCATTAGCTCCGGTGTTTGGCTCTCGTTGCTCTTGGGACTTAGCTGCGGAGTGGTCTGGCTCTCGACTGGAGGCGGCGTCCCTGTGGTTGGCGTCGCCTGGAGCTGTTTGGTCAACACCTCCGAGCGGAAACTCTTACGCAAACGCCTCAGATTTGGGGTCTTTCGCAGTTTTGTGAACATTTGATCGCCCTCAGTATCGGACTCAATCGCCTCATCATCGCTAATTGGCAGATTGGTGTCCTCGCTTTGTTTTGTTTCTTGATCTGGCTTGGCCTCAGACCCAGACTCTGCTTCCTTCTCTTGCAGCGGATTCACATCCTGGGCTTCTGCCAAGTTTATTTCTTGCGCATCGCAACTCTTTCGAATACTTTCACGTATCGTACGACTGCTATTCTTATCTGGCGTAACTAAATCTGTACGGGATTCACCTTGGTCTTTTTTCGCCACTTTCTGGGCATTTGTCTCCGATTTTCGGGGTCTCCCTTTACTGGCCCCCGGTTCCAAAGGACTGTCTTTCTCAGCCTGATGACGCGCACTACGACGTGGTTTTCTCTGCTCTTCCTCAGGATCATCCGCTGTTTCGAACAGGTCCGATAAGCTGGGATTTCTCACTCGAGGCGTCAGTGAGCAGATGAGGTGGGTCTTGTCGAGGTTGCGGGTGCGGCTCCTGGTACTCCGCCGCGGAGTGAAGCTGTCAAAGAAAAGCTCAATTTAATTGACTGCCAAAGAAAAGGAGGAGACTATTCCCCTACTCGTTCTGCAACAGGACGAAACTGTTTGACGACTCCTCGACACTTTTGCGGCGCAACTCCGTCATGGCCAGCTTCTTGCGCAGCGAAAACTCTGGCCTAAACGATAAGAAATGAGGAACAGACTGACTAAAAGGGCCTGGGTTTTGACATACCCTTGTGTACCCGGTCGTTGGTCGAGCTGCAGACTGAGTCGAGGGTTCATGGATTTCCCTGCCGCTTCCACATCGTTTTCTGCAATATACGTGGGACAATTAGTTCTTGGTTCTACCATCTACACAGGTGTGCTCACTCTTCGTGGAGCTGCTGCCGATGGTAAGCGGCAGCGGTGCATATTTCTTAGCCGCACTGGACTTGGGTGTGCGAGGAGACCTCAATAGGCTTTCCCTTTTAGGTGTAGTGGGCGTCTTTGGGGGGCTTCGCTTCGCCTTGGCTCTCAACTTTTTTGGTGTACGCTGATTATCATCAGAGCCATCAATCTGCGGCAGCTTCGGTGTGGGATCTAGCTCCCCCTGCACTTTGGGTGTAGGTTGACTTGGAGTTAGTTTGAGCAAAAGCTCATCGATGTCGTCCAGGGCGGTGGAGAAGTCATGTTTGCTCCCAGGGTTCGTTTCCTCCTCAGAATCACAGTCTTCATCGGACCCCAAGTTAGGACCGACAGCAGCTGCTGCTGTCTCCTTGTCCAACAGCTCTGGAGTTAGCTCAACTAAAGGAACAACAGAATGAAATGAAGCCATTTTGCGATCATTTTTCAACTGGCATTTACAGTGTTTGTGCTGCTGCGACAGGGGCGCCAACGAGCTGTCCAAATCAATGCGCGATTCATTGGCACTTTGTTCTTCAAGCTGCTGCAGGACCTCAAGCAGTTCCAGGTCTTCTTCCCTCACTGGAGCAGAGTTAAGGATATGAATGGTTAATTAGAGATTGATGGCTACTGGTTTACCTACAGGTTGCATCGTGTGGCACAGCTCCAAGCGGCTGGGTCAGGCTCAAGACTAGTTCCTCATCCACCAGCGTTTCATCCATGCAGGCAGACTCGTCCTTTTCTGCAAAGGAAGCGCCAAAAAGGCTGCCATTGCTGCTGCTGGCTACATGATTCTGGATAAACGAAGCGTTCACCAGCTGCTGCTGCTGATCCTGGGAGCATTCTTCGGGATAAACAGCGTTGGCCATCAGTTTTTGCAGATTGAATGTGCGTCGCTGCTCCTTGCTGTTGGGCAACGTGGTCTGCATAGTGGAATTGCCGAGATGCGTCTGATCTGACAGGGTTTGGTCAGATAGCGTCGACTGCTCCAGGGTAAGCAGTTTGCTCTCGAGAGCCGTGCGGTAGAAAACATCACTCTCGGCGACTTCCACATGCAGTCGAGGCTGTGTGGGCGGCAGTTGCAGGACTGGAATCTGAAGCAGCATGAGCCAGCTATATAATTTTCATACATTGACCAAGACCCTACCGCATTGAGTTTCTGCTCATCGGCTGCTGCGGCGTAGCTCTGAGCCAACTTTTGACGGCGCACATTCTCGTCATTCCAAATGGCCTCAATGCCAGGATTTGTGTGACTGCCCTTGCCCTTGGCGACTAGTTGGAAGCGATTCAGTATGAAGTTGGAACTGACGTCCACCTCCAAGGAGCTGCAGGCCATTTTCTTGACGCTAGATGTCTCCAGCAGCTGTTCGGGCTTCACATTCGGATAAGGAACCACTGAAAAATTATTACTTCGTTAGACTTGGCTTAAAGGGAAACAGAAACACTAGGTTACCTTCATCCTCATGGCTACGACGAAACTTGACCACCTCCAATGGTACATGCAGATAGCTCATCCCATACAGATTGTAGTCGATCATGAACTGCAGTATGTAGGGAACGTGGGACTCGTGTGGATTGAAGTTCTTGCTGAGTATGGCCCCGCTCTGGAGAAGATTGGCGGCACGTCGCACGAAACGGGGATTGAACATGTATATTTTGAGGAACTGATGATCCACACGATGGTAGCCATAAAAGGGGCTGAAAAGTAAGACATGACTAAGATTCACTTAAAGCATGATCTGATGCGCTTCACTTACATGCCCTTGACCAACTGGATCTTGAACACATGCTGGGCATTGGAGCTGCCCTGTCCCAGTGATATATTGAGGGCCTTGTCCAGGTGCATGGCGATCTGTAAGATGCCGCGCTCCAAGGATTCAAAGTCCTTCTTATCGTATGGTATGTAGAAATAGGGAAATACGCCGTGCACATGCATGCACGTTTTCTGTCCAGCGGAATTGGCCCCAAATACTCGAATGATCGGCACCTGTTTACAAACGAAAATTCCGTAAAATTCAGTAGGAGTCGTTAAAAGATGAATGTACTCCAGTTTAGCGACACCAACCCGCTTGATTTCCTTCCCGCGCAATTCCGAATAGCAGGGATCCAGGCCAGACTGCGGCTTCTCCATATAAAAGTCGGCTATGACCAACCGAATGGAGTACACGCCGTCGATTCCAGGTGCTGCTGCCATTCCCGCAACGATAAATGTATTTAATTCGAATTTTTTTAACGAAAACGGCCGTCCACCGGAACATCTCCCACACAAATGCAATCGAGATGGCAGTTCTTCGATAAGCTGCGACAGCTGATTGCTGGTGGTGGCAGTTTCTCAGTATGAATATCGATGAAATTCTACATCGATAGATTGCGCTCCCTTCGTATCGATAGGTAGGGCTGCATTAACATAGCTGTGACCCGGGATACAGAGAATCAAGTCACTGTTGAAAGAACCGTTTGAATGCGTTACAATTCCAAGCTTATGTTAACAGCTTCTGCTCAAGGAGAGGCCGATGCTGTTAATAACAGTTGTTTTGTTTATATTTTGAAATTGAATCAAATCGGCGCACAAGTGTTCTTTGTCGGTCTGTCCGGTTAGTAGTGTAAATAGAACAACTTGGTCTCGATCTTACCTCACCGGTAGTTCTACAGTGGCTGCAATATCGATTTGCACAACTAATTATCTCTATAGCCCCCCACCCTCAACTGCGAAATACTTCCCAGGAACTTCAGAAAACATACCTACATACGTGGGTACACTATTCATTTATCCAAACTAAACTTATATATCCCTATACTCTTTTAGTACAGGGTAAAGAATATCTAATTATTTAGATCTCTCATTAATGCTGTGCTATCTCCAAATATGTTATTAAATAGATAAATTGACTGAAAGTAAAATGGATATCAGTGCAATGAAGATGTCACGGAATTTCACAAACATTTCCAAATCGAGGAAACATAGCTCGCAAATGGGGCGATTTTTGTTTATTTGCGGTATCTTATCTTAGAGGAATACAGACATGATTGGGTCCGGTCTGATCTGTACGTCATGACGATTACCTTATAGAATCGAGACTTCTGTGTAAAACTACAATCGTCTAAGCAAGGGCATAAATATAAAGATGTGTGTTCAGAGTGTAGAACCCAGTTATTTCAAAAAGAATCGTCAATGCGCTGCCGATTAGATTTATAATTACGATTGATATACATATGTATAGTATGTGTGTATAAGAATATTCTCATGTACAACTCTATAGGTATTATATGTGGCCTATAAAATCCTTTTTCCCAACCAGATTTTCGTACGATGGCGGTTCTTCCTTACGCATTCTGTCGAATGCCTTTTGAACCGAGAACAGGGCATAACTGAGATACGCTGTAATTAAGGGACAGATAATAGATTCGAAATCGAAATCAGTAGCATGTGGTCCTGTGAGTATACCTGTAAATGGGACTACCATGATCGGAAGAAAGAGCCAATCTCCATTGACCATCATTGCAACCCCCAGGTAAACCATGAGGTACAAGAAGAATCCACAGGTTATCATCCAAGGCACGAAAAGCTTATAACAGTTCTATATTTAGACAAACAGATAAGGATCAATTGAAGTGCAGCTGGAAGGGAGGCAGACTTATACGTACCTTTATGGCACCAATTACTAGGCATATGCTTCCCATAATCTGCAAAGCCGAAACATGCAAGCCCAGATCGCTCGATATATCTGCAAAGTGAAATAGGTATGAGTTCGACCAAAAATTGTATTCAATTTGAATACATACACCAAAAATATTCACTCTTTAGAAGTATATAGACAGTTGCAAAGACCACTGACAGCACTCCTGAGAGGATAACGCCGTTTTTGCTGTCTAATTGAAGCATTTTGCTGATTTCACTTTTCTTTCTTTCGTGGACACTCCACTCTGTTCAGTAGAAAGACTATTTCACAAATAAATGTGAAATATTTAGACGCGGCAAGGGGAGCTTTTTCTGCCTAATCTTATCACCTACCTGGCACTCTCCCTCTCTTTTACATACATACTATATACATACTGTATGTATATATGTACTCCCTGGGCGACAAAGAGAACCCGCATTTGTTTATCGCCAATATTTGTGCTTTATTGCATTGAAGGATTACGTGGGGCTTGTGAATTTGTTATAGGCTGGTGGTCTCAGTACAGTTGAGATAAACTGGAAAAGATCAACAGAGGATAGATAGAACGCCGCACGAGAGTAGGAAGATCAGCTACAGGAAGAATCCTGTAATTATCATCCATGGCAGGTATATATACAAAGAACCTACCTTTGTGGCAACAAATACCAGGTACATGCTAATCAGGATCCGCAGAGTCGTTACTTGCACGAATAGATCACAGTAATTGTCCATTAGAGACAAATAGACAGACGTAAAAACTTATCAAAAATCCTAATCACAATGATAGGACAATGACGTTTTTGGTATCTCGATTTTGCTCTCTGCGTGGGAAGTATTTCACGAGAACTAAAACAGAGTTCGATGTTAAAAACTTATCTTATCAATAAATCGCTCTTTGCTGGACGCCCGTTCGCCCAGTAAGAAAAAAACCCCTTGATGATTTGGTGTATAAATAATTTTTATTGAAAGTTTTGCTTCTTATTGCTTCAGCGTCATCAAGCCAGCAAGCCGAGCCCATTCTCCTCATTCACTTCCTCTGAACAGGCGGGCAGGGGCAAGGGCAGGCTTATAAAAATGTTTCGGCTCTTTGGTAGACCTTACAATGGATTTAGGTTTAGGTTTAGGTTTAGATTTGATTATTCTTGAATAATGCAATGGAATTGATTAGCTAACAAATCGATTGGTGGCGAGTGTGCAAAAAGTTTGTTAATTGTAAAATTTGTAACATGCTGTTTATTCGTTTTGATTTTGTTTTAACTAGAGTTACTTTTAAGTATAAAATTGTAATGCAATATCGCATCGCATCGCACTGCATGGCATTGCTTTCATATGTATTGATGTATGTATAATTATTCGATCTTCAGTTAACTCTTGATACCCGATCAACTTTAGCATATTTTTGCTTTTGTTTTTTTTGTTTTGATTTCGAGCAGCCGTAATTCGCAGTTCTGCTTAAGAATATATCCGATTGATTTGAGTAAAGTTAGGCTTGATTAGGTTGGGTACTTGGGGCTAAGAATTTAAGAACATGTGGCCTTCTTTTCAAGTTAGTCAAGAGATATAAAAAATACGTAGATTATAACATTCGATTAGTACAAGTAGGTATGTATAAATATATAAAAAGTACACAATGTGTAAATAAGACTAAGTCGATAGAGGAGCACGCAGCACTTCTTCTCATGCTCTTTTTCTGCACTGCACTGCTCTGCTCTGCTCTCTTTTCATCTCTTCTCTTCTCATCATTTTCATTTTAATTTTGTTATTTTTTTTTTGTTTTTGGCAAAATCACAGGAGAATTAGAAATAATTAACATAAACTATGACACATGGCCGTGCTCAGGTGGCGGCTCAGGTGTGTCTGTGTGTGCTTGTTTGTGAAAAGCCGGAAAAACCACGAGTTGGATAAGCGGGACAACAATCATACAAGTGACGCGGCGCGACGAACCTCTCTCTTTGCCGATTGGAAAGATCCTTTGGATGGGTTCAAGTTCAACCATGCTTGCTTTCTTTATTTGCCTTCACTTTGATTGGAGTTTGATTGTAATTGGTTTTAAGTTTTAGTTTTGATTTTGTTTTGAGGATTTGTAAGTTCATTAAGTGTATATTTGTATAATAAATTATGACTATATATGCATGTATATATATGTATATAGATTTATACATTTAAGAAGTAAGTAGGAGGCGCATTATTTCACTTTTCAACTTAAGAGTAACTGCTTGCTCGACTGACTGACTGACTGATTGATTGATTTACTGACTGACTGGCTGACTGAAATGGCTCGTTAGCAGCTTCATAACAATGCGATTCCCTGATCGCTGATCAACAAAAGTGACATTATCATGAGATTAATCGTGACAAAAAAAAGAAGAATGCATATATGCATGTACAAAAGAATAAATAAAACTGCATATAAAAATAATGATTCTCAGTAAGCCTATTAAACGTCAACAACCATCTTCTTGTGTATGTCCGTGTTTCCAACCACCGAACAGAATTCGTCGAACGATATCTTGCCATCCTCATCCTTGTCCGCGAAACCGATTGTCTTGTCCACGATCTGTTGCAGTTGCGTGTCCTTCAGATTGTTGCCCACCATCATTTTTAAAACCTGCAAAAGTCAAATTTTTAGAGTAAGAATAATTTTTTATATTCATCTTGGTGTCGTTTCGTTTAAGGGAGGAGGATTCGAAATCGGTAATTGCTTGCCTGAAAAAGTTCACCATTCGAAATGTATCCATCGTTGTCCATGTCGTAGATGCGGAACGCGAAGCGCAGCTTCGACAGTTTATCACCCTTAACGCTGAACTGTGAGACGCCCTGGATGAACTCCTTAAAGTCCACCTCCCCGTTGCCATCGGCATCGAATATGTCGATCACGCGCTGCACCAGTGGATTCTGTTGCAGCTCCGGCAGCGACATGAACTCGTCCACACTCAATGCCCCCGAATTGTCCAGATCCAGTTTGCGGAAACGTTTGCCCAAGCGTCGAATCTCATCGGCATCGACTGGTATGAGAAGATTACAATTTTTGGTCAGAGGTTATATCTCTAGGGTGCACCCCTACATAATTCAAATGTGAACAGTATTATTTATAGATTCAGATTGTCTGTCTGCCCATCATCAGAGATGAAACACAGTGTGACAAGAACAAGATTAGCATGTAAAAACGCTATAGACGATATTCCGACTACAAAATAGCAATCATAATAATATCATCTCAGGACTTCGAAGTGTACATAGGTGGGTGTTGGGGTTTGGTTTTACGTTGTTCCACGTTTCGCTTGCATTCCACTGAGTATTCCATATACAATGCCTGTGCATACCTACATACCATTCATACATACACACATTTGCATATTCATAAACAGCTGCCGTACCGTTCAAATGACATTGACTGAAAAATGGTACTTACAATTGGAACACATTTCCATGGGCAGTGATGTTTCGTTTCCCTGAAAATAAAATGGGGTAGATTATCACAGAAAGCACTAAAATTCACAAATTTATTGCATCCGAAGGTATGATGAAGGGGAAGGGGGGTGCCAAGAGTCAGTTTCTTTTTCATTATTTTCCTTTCAAACGGGACACTGCCTGCGGGGCTCCCAGTCCCCTTCTCTCGCTCTCCCTCTCTATCGTCGTTTCACTTGGCCCCTCCATTCCCTTTTTGACACTTGCTCTTGAACATGTATTTCGGCTGGCCGTTTTTATTACCATTTTGGTTTTTCCTTTTGTGGATTTCTTGGGTGCTATCTATAGTACAACTAATTTCGAGATTTTGCACTGCTCTGCTTTCACTCTCTCCGCTAATAATTCGGTGCTTTCTATTATAATTTAATGCCTTCAAGTTTATTGCACATTCTCGTGAGGCTTATTTGGCGCAGTATTATGGTTTTGTTGTTAAAAAAATTTAATTTTCTATTGTGCACTTGCAACGCAACACGAGTTCAATATACCGTCCGACCCTCAGAAATATACCGAAATATACCGACTCATTTTAAAAAAATACCGTAAATATACTGACGAGCTCAAGTTCTATTTTACATATTCCTCGTTTTTGATATTCCGTCCAATATTACCAGCTATATAGAACATTTAGCCATGCCCACATAATTTTATACGATTAATGAATCAATTTTCTACAAGATTGGATAGTTTTTAATCTTTGCTTTTATTGTATTTATTGTAAAAAAAGGGTTAAACGAAAAAGTTCAACAAAAAAAAGAGTCGCAATGTTGCTTTCATTTGAAGACATGATGCGTGTATAGGCCTTTGTACACCCTATTTTGTTAATTTTATATGAAGATGAAACGTGATTTATAAAGACCTTTTCTCAAATTGATATTCCTTAGACATATTAAAGTACATTATTAGTATCTTGTGTATATTTATCTCGATCCTGATACCTACGGAGTCTTCGATGACAAACATATTCTTAATTCTATAACATCCATTCCCCCAGGGTATGTGGGACTCATTGTTGTGAACCGGTTATGACGACTAATTCTTGGTTAATCTTTCTTCCGTCGAATATTCCCAGCTATATAGATCTCTCAGTTTTGCCCAGACAATTTTATATGATAGCTGAATCAATTTTGATCAAGATTAACTATTTTTAAGTACTTGCATGTTTTTTATTTTGACAAAAACACGATTTCATCAAAAATTTTCAATGTCGTAGGTTGTGACGTCAATGTTGCTGGTATTTGCAGACTCATTTGTTGTCAACCAGGGTATGAGCGTTTGTATACCCTATTTCGTGAATATTATATAAAGATACTGTTTTCCAAGCTGCTTTCAAATGTAATTAATAAAGGCCTTGTTTTAGATTTCATTTTTTTGGTATATTCATGCATTTGATTAGTTATTTGTATATAAAACCTGATCCCTGTAGCGATTCTTTGTCTCTGTAAAAGGATCACTAATTGCAAAATATCGTTTGAAATAGATACTGACTAGTTTCTGCATTAATTAGAGCATGGGATGAAACACATTTCCGCAACTCTATATCATCCATTTCCCCAGGGTATGTGTGCATGAAATTAGCAACATGTTTGTGTATGGAATGGGACTCATTGTTGCTAAAGCGAACTGCGGCGAAATCAAATTCGATTCAAAAAAAGACCAATTCTTTGTTCCGTTGAATAATACTATCTATATGGAACATTTAGCCATGCCCACTCAATTTTGTACGATTGATGAATCAATTCTATACATGATTGATTGGCTTATTCGAAATACTTGCTTTTATTGGATTTCTATATAACATTGAAAATTAAATTAATAGATTGATGAAATTGACAAAAATACCATGGGAGCGCGGCGAAAACCAGTATTTCTACAGTATGACCCTCAGAAATATACCGAAACATACTGTCTCATTTTTAAATTATACCGTAAATATACTGACGAATTCAAGTTATATTTTACATATTCCCAGACATATAGCGTTCTACCATCACTATAATAATATAAGCTCCGGGCCATGATTGCTTGCAGCTCGGATTCGCTTTTAGCCTATCGATATATCGCAAAGCAATCCCTACCATGAAAATACTTGAATGAAAAATACTGAAAATATCGATAATTGCCGCCAGTTTTAAAATTAAAAATGTTTTCTAAGCATCTATCAGATGATTATGGAATTTAGTCAGTTAGCAAAGTGCTTAGTAAGGGTATTGCATATATTTTTGATTTGCATACAAAAATTACTCGAGCTTGTTCTAAATTATGCTGAGCGCCAGTCATCAGACTTGCTTTTGCGGTCTGGCACTTGCTGGGCTTCGCTTAGACGTAGCAAATAGATAGCAATTGCTGTGTATTTATCCAGCATAATCGTTTGCCTAACCATCTTCCGACCCAATTCATTGGTTTCCATTTCATTCCAGAAGCAGCAGCCCAACCGAACAGTCACTCCCGTCACGACGAGAAGTCATGGCACAAGGAACCGGCATCATCTGCTCAGAGGTTAACGGCCGCGGGGCAGCGGCGTACGAGGAGGAGCCACAGCGGCGCAGAGTGGCCATTGTCGGGGCGGGTTTGGTAAGTGTGATATGTATCCAAGATATGATATGATATCTAGATGCTGTAGATCTAGCAAAAGTAACAGCAAGAGTGCGTCTCCCCCTTATCAGTGGGGTGGGCTTCATAATCCCAGTTTGTAGAGCAAACTCTCTTATCAGGCTACATTTTTCGGCAGGTGGGTTCTTTGGCGGCCCTAAACTTTGCCCGGATGGGCAATCACGTGGACTTGTACGAGTATCGCGAGGACATTCGGCATGCTGCTCTCGTGCAAGGACGCAGCATTAATCTGGCGCTCTCCCAGCGGGGACGCAAGGCGCTGGCTGCCGTGGGTCTGGAGCAGGAGGTCCTGTCCACCGCCATACCCATGCGGGGACGAATGCTGCACGATGTTGCAGGACGGACCAGTGTGGTGCTGTACGACCCGTGCACCCAACAGTGCCTCTACTCCGTCGGCCGCAAGCAGCTCAACGAGGTTCTGCTCAACGCCTGCGACAAGCTCCCAAACATTCAGTGCCACTTCGAGCACAAGCTGACCAAAGCCAGCATCAAAGAAGGACTCATGGAGTTCAAGCAGCCACATCGGGAGGGGGTTGTGGCGGCCAGCGCGGATCTCATTGTGGGCTGCGACGGAGCGTTCAGCAGCGTGCGGCAGCAGCTGGTGAAGCTGCCGGGCTTCAACTACTCGCAGGATTATATCGAGACTGGCTACCTGGAGCTGTGCATTCCCGCCAAGGCAGGCGAGTTCCAGATGCCACCCAACTATCTGCACATCTGGCCGCGCAACTCATTCATGATGATTGCCCTGCCCAACCAGGACAAGTCCTTCACGGTGACACTGTCGATGCCGTTCAAGATGTTCGCCAGCATCCAGAGCCAGGATCAGCTGCTGGCCTTCTTTAGGCAGCACTACACGGATGCTCTACCTCTGATCGGCGAGGAGCAGCTCATCAAGGACTTCTTTAAGACGCGGCCTCAGCACCTGGTGTCCATCAAGTGCAAGCCGTATCATTATGCCGACAAAGCGCTGATTCTGGGCGATGCGGCCCATGCAATGGTGCCGTACTATGGGCAGGGCATGAACGCAGGCATGGAAGATGTCACCCTGCTGACCTCCATTCTGGGACAGCCATTGCCTCTGGACGAGGCCCTGGCCCAGTTTACCGAGGACCGCTGGAAGGATGCCTTCGCCATTTGCGACCTCGCCATGTACAACTATGTGGAGGTGGGTTCAGTTCAGTGTTCCCCTTGGCCCTTAGTGGCTGTATGTACACCCTCTTTAATCTGTTCCTCTTGCAGATGCGGGATCTCACCAAGCGCTGGTCATTCCGATGCCGAAAGTGGCTGGACACCCTGCTGTTCCGGCTGTTCCCTGGCTGGATTCCACTCTACAACAGCGTCTCCTTTTCGAGCATGCCCTACAGTGAGTGCATTGCCAACCGCAAGTGGCAGGATGGGTTGCTGAAGCGCATTTTTGGGGGCTCCCTCCTTGCCGTTGTCCTGGCCGGCTCTGCGTGCCTTGTGCAGCGTTTTCTTTCACCTTGGACAGTAATGCAATCAAACTAAATGATCTTTTGCCCTCATAAGTATGCTCCGAGAACATTACAAAAGATGCTGCTGCAAATACACTTCCGAATACATCGATTAGATGTCCTAATCGTTTTAGTGGCAAATATTTCATAGTTAGTTCTCGGTTCCCTAAAATATATCACACTCATGTATAATTATTGAACACTTTCTACTGAAATCAATGAATATCATCTGAATTGCAATGCAAGACTCATTCAGGGGTCGGCGCTTGCAGTTCCATCTGATATACGAAATAAATTGTCTATTAATCGGATGTTAACACACAACAGTAGTGGCTATGTTCATCCTTATGGTTCCGATTGGCAGACATCAGGACAAGGCCGGATTATTCTATTATTCTTATTTTATCGAGAGAATGCAATCCGAAAATGATAGAGTGGATGATGGTCAGTTCAAGCTTCAATCAGATCCCGAAGGAAACCTTTTGCAGATCCCTGAAGTCTCAAACTATGCGTGTGATAAAATGCTTCGTTTAATCTAATACGTAGTACTAAAGTACTCATCACCTACACACCTACAAATGCATATTCATTTGTTTACATAAATCTAACGACAAGTGTATAAATATTTGAATGTGTGTGCTGGGAAAATAATTGAAATTTCTAGTTTGCCGCGTGGCCACGGGTACTACGCATCGCATTTGAGACTATCTACTTATAGATAGATATATTTGTGGTTTTATTTTGTTGGTTGGCTGGTTGGCTGGTTGGTTGTTGTTGAGGCGGCGACAGCCAAAAATACGCCCCGTCAATGTGATTTTGGTATTTCTGCGGCTATTCCCGTTCTGTTGGCTATTTGTGGCCCATCAGTGCAGTGCAGCCTTCGTCACGTGATCAGTGCATCGGCAGAGAGTTTCCGCTTAAAGGATGGGCATGGGACGCAACGGCCCTCTTCGATGGTGCTCATAAATCATCATATTCAAACATGGTCATAGCCCGCCGTTGCTTGGTCATATGCTCCAAGCTTTTGAGAGTGGGACAGACACGGAGAGAGTGTGGAAGTGAGATAGAGCGGGTGTGAAAGCTTTCAATAAATTAGCATGCCGTTTTCTCTGCTCTTCTCATCGCCGTCTTCCTCTATCCAGCTGCTCGAGAGACACAAGGTCGGTTCGGTGCTTTCCCAATCGCACGCCAGCCAACGCCGGCCGGTATTTCATTACAGCAACAAATTCACATTGGATTTTACACAGTACATTTCGTTTTATGCTTTGATCGAACTAAAGCTCGCTCTCTTCGCCTTTATACATACATAACTCTCTGCCGGAGCGCCAAGGGGCGAAAATTGATAGATTCGATAGAAAGGGGGCTTGAAAAGTGAAATCCAAATCAAACAATGGTTTTAAGCCACCGCAGCTCTCTTGACCTACTACTCACTGCCCAAAACTACCGATACATCCATCTGCCTACTCATGAAGCTTTCGCGAGAGGAGAGAGAGGGAGAGAGCCCCACCGTTTGCTTCTCATTTCCGACACAACTTTTGTTGCTAATTTCCGTTTTGCTCTCTAGAACGCCGAACGCAACTGGTCTCTGCCCAGCCAGCGTGCCATCGTGAGCGCCGTTAGTTGCTTGCTCGTCACATGTTCGTTGTTCGTCAAGTAGACCGATTGTGCCCAGATCCCCCGACCAGCGGACAATTTCCACAGCATTGTGCAACCGTTAATTGAAAAGGCATTTGCAACTTTAATTCGTTTTTGTCCACAGAACAGGTGTATGTGAGTGTGTGTGCCAGTGCAGGCATTATCGAGTATCGCGCCCTTGCCCTTTCCACCCGCCACCCGCAACCCGCAACCCGCAAATCGTCCACCGTTTACCGATCTAATCCGGCCGACCGTAACGTTCTGGAAGCTTTCGACAAGCGATCCGATCGGTAACCAAAAAACGCGTGGTCTCCGTCAAACTGTATGAAATAATCAGCAGCAAAAAATACAGCGAGGCAAAAAAAGGTAACACGAAAAAAAAGTGAAATTGAAATTCAAAGTTAAAATCAAAATCAAAAGTTTTTGGAGTTTTCTCTCTTTCTCTGTGTGCATGAGTGTGTGTACGTGTGTGAGATTGCAACGGTAATCAGAGAGAAGAAGAAGAGTATCGGCTCAAAGCGAGTGGGGGGTTTACTTTGACAGTAGCTGTTTTTTACGTTCACGTAATATTCCAAAAATAAACACATATTTTATATGTAGAAAGATACAAAATTGGGCAGCATCAATTCCCATTATCGCCATCGCCATTAAGTTATAGTTGTTTCGGATAACTACCACCATCCATCCACTGCCACTCGACAGTATTCGCTATCCGATTCAAAGAAAGTGCTCCCCCCTTTTTATGTCGATCAGTTTTGCTGTTTTACTTTTAATAGAAATTGTTTCGCTTCTGTGTGATCAAATCGTTTCGGCTATATACAAAATAGACTCTAAAGCTGTATGAAAACAAATACATAGACATTTACAAGCTATGTATATAGACGACAGAGACGGCCGTGATTGCACTCATTGGGCTCGTTCTCTTCTTCGGTGCCACCCCCACGGTCTACGTGAGTCTGGCCCATGCAGTGCGAATTGCGTGGATTTTGGATAAAGACCACCCAAGCACGATCTGTCCGAATTTTACAGGTAAATAGGGTCAACATGATTGATAATAATTACATACATATGTATGGAGATACATAGGTGAGACCTACATACATATGTACATATGTATGTATATGGCTACGTGACTGCTTTGCAATCTGGTGATCGTCTCGTGTTTTGGGTGTCGGATAGGTTGCTAGTATAAATGAAAAGCAAACCAGAAATGCGGATAAGGTCTACACGCAGATGAATCCACCACCCAGTCTCCCTCCCTCTTCTCACTCTTTCCCACTCACACGGTCATTTAGCTTTGGCATTTGGTATTTCCGGTTTTTGTTTTCGGTCGGGTTTATGGGCGATATTGTAGATAGCAACAGAAACACCTTCAAATACTTTATTCCCTGGCACATTGGATTTCGTGCTAGATTTCGTCAGCTTCCTTTGCAGCGATCCGATCCTCTGGGAACTGTAGAATATGCTCTATATTGCTCTATTATGTCAGTCACTTATCGTGGGCCAAACTAATAGACTTGCTCATTAGGATCATTAGCGCGAACTGCTGCCTCTATCATCTATCATATGCGGTTCAAGATCGGTTAATGTTCGACAGTAATTAGCGTTTAAAACGTTGCTTTAAAGGAAAGGAAGATCATGCAAAGCTGGAGTAAATTCATAGCAATGATTTCTTCTATTCTTTTAAAGGGTTTTTAGGGAGTCTCGCCGCTTGATTCATCTATGTTTTAATATTAATAATTTCAAGGAATTCTTAAAACGAAAATGTCCCTAACCTATTAAATATGTACGTATGTACATTAATGGAAAGTTTCTGAATATAAAATAAGTTGAGGTTCTCCCTAACTTGTTTTACGAATTCTCAAATACACTAAATCGTGTGCAATAATAAAGAGACTTAATCAACAAATTAACGAAGGCATTTTACGAGACTCCCCAACAAGATCAATAACAGTTTCTGTTCGCACACACACACAATCGAATGTATAGGATGGCAAAAAAGTGTACAAAATAATGAAAACATTCCTATACAAAAACTTACATCATCGTATTAAGCAGAGAGGAATAAAGAGAGAAGAGGGAGAGAGAAAAGTGCCCGCCAAATGGCAGCCCACACAAACATCCATACATATGTATGACATACATACACACACTACAATGTATGTACATGTATATGTTCTTGTTTTTTTTTTTGGGTAAACGCAAAAAAGTAACGCAAATTGCGCGTTTCAGAACGGTACTAATTCTTCGCAGTTCCTTTAAACGCACCACAGGGGAGACACAGAAAGAAAAAAGCGCGCAACTCAATGTGCAAAATGAAATGTTTAAAAAAAACTAAGCAAAGACCAAGGTGCATGAATCTACATACATAAGGTGCGGTGTTTCTGCACGCACCGAAACAGCTCTCTCTTTTCAGAAATTTGCATAGCTTAAGGGCTTTCAGAGAGAGCAAGAGAGCGAAAGAGGGAGAGCAAGAGAGCGAGAGAGAGAGAGAGAGAGAGAGAAAGACTAATGGACTAATAGCGATCAAAATGAGAGAGAGAAGGAGAGCGCAGCGGTCGAAGTCGTGTTCATATTTTTGACAAAATTTTCTACCAAAAACAACCAATAAAATACATAATTTTGTTTCCTCGCATTTCTTCTCTTTTTGCATGTGTGTGGCGTCGGCGGCGGCACTCTTCCTGGCATCTCAACTGCTGTCTTCGTTGCTGTAAATGAATAGAGGTAAAGGGGTAAAGCAACAACGACAAGAACAGCTAGACAAGAACCAAAAGGAAGACGCAGTTGAATAAAAGGTGTGCAAGTGTTTGTGTCCGCGAGTGAAGTGTGTTTGTGTTTGTGTGCCAGTGCCAGTGCCAGTGCACAAAGAAAGCAAAAAAACAGCAATAACACATTAATGAATTTCGTGATTAAAAACATTTCAAAGGTACAACAAAAGCTCATTTAATATAAAAATAAGAAGGCAACGAGGCAAAGGCAAGCGAAAAAAAACCAAACAGAAATTAAATCAAATCGCGGCGCGGCGCCAACAACAAACGTGGCAAAAAACTAAACAGAAACGAAACAAAAGCTCTGTGGCCCGCAACCAAAACGAAAACGAAAACACAAACGAGAGCGGAGAGCGGTGAGCAGCGCGAGTGAGTGAGTGGGAGAGATAGTGGGAACAAGAGCAGAAGAACGCGAGAAAAAGCACCAGCAGAAGCAACGGAGCAACGGTTATACAAAAGCAAAAACCAAGCCAGAACCCAACACCAAAGTCAATTGCGCACGAAACCCGACGAACCATACAACCAGTTGGCAATACGGAAAAAGTTAACTAATCAAAAATATACAATCCATACGGTATATACCCAACATCGAGCGATAGAAGTACCAGAAAATGGTCAACAAATCCAATGGGAAGGTAGTGGGGCAGCAGAAGGCGGACAAGGATAAGGAAAGGCAGCCAGAGACAATGCTGCCGGCGGCGGGCACCAACAGCAACAATCAGACGACACAGATCAACAACAACAACAACAACAACAACAACAACAACAACAACAACAACAACAACAACAACAACAACAACAACAATAGCAACAAAGGGAAAAATCAAAATGTCAAGAACAACAACAATAACAGCAAAAAGAATCCTGGCAACAACAAAGGACAACAGCAACAGCAGAAGAGCACCAAAAAGGGCAAGCCCCAGAGGCAACAGATCTTCCTGCAGTCGCTACCACGCGACACCAGCAACTACAGAAGCTACAACCACAGCAACAGCACCAGCAACAATAACAACAGTAGCAACATTCTGGTCACAACTGCAACAACCGACAATGGGGTGACCAAAGTGAATCCCGCCGAGCTTCTGACCGCCGCCCTGGCCGTGCCCTGTGCCAAGTGCTCGAAGCCATCGATGATCACCCCCCTATCGTCCACCTCCGCATCCCCCAATGCCGTCTCCACCGCCTCCATTGTCAGTTCATCGGCCTCGACCACCTCCAATTCGGAGACCGCGAGCAATCACAGCGAGCTGAGCTTCCCCGAGCCGATGGTCTACTCGGCCAAGCAGTACCGCAAATCGAAATCCTACATGGGCGTCTCACAGTACAACAGCTCCGGCTACGGCTCCTATCAGAACTCCTCGGGTCGGAATGGATCCGGAAATCATGCCACCTACAGACGCTCGCACAGCGATCGGCGCAACTCCTTTGATCGGACATTCGCCGAAAGGAATCGCGACTTTGTGCCCATTGTGCCACCGCCGCGACCCGTCCTCTCGTCCTCGAACATTGCCGGAGTCATGGCCAGTTCCACCAAGCTAACGCTCATCGAACGGTTCGGCAAAGGACGACTCGCGTATCCCATAATGCAGGTGAGTTGCTATATATTGTTAGATTGTCTGCTTGGGACCTGTTTATCCTGGCACTATCTCGGGGTGGTGGCACTCGGTGCCTTTCAGCATGGCGCAGATGTAATAGTTCTTAGAGTTCGAGATCTGGTTCAGGGTCAACAGAGTTGTCTTGAAAGTGGAGAACTTTCGTAACTTTCCATTTGATCAGTTGCCACATTCGAGAAGTTCCTTCTAATCAGCACCGGGAGGCGCTGCGCCGCCAGCTACTACGGGAAGCAGTTATAATTAATGGCACAAACAAGAACTGCTGATAAAAAACGGAGGCAAAGAGTGTGAATGGGGTGCAAAAGCGCAGGGGCAGGTAGTTTTTTAGTCATCTGTTTATTTTCGATAAGCTGATTTCATTCTCGGAGGCGTAGAAAGCAGAATCAAGTTGAAGTTGAAGTTCTTCTGGAACCAAGATTTGTTCTTCCCTGAATTTTTTCTATTTCTATTTCTATTTCTTTTTCAATTTCAATTTCTTATCTATTTCCCCAATTGTTGTTGTTGCTAATAATTTGTTATTTACGGTTGTGCATGGGCGCGGGCACGGGTAAATATTACGTATACGCCGTGACTTCTTTGCACTTTTCTGGGGTGTGCAATCGAGAGACGGGAGACAAATGCGATGTTTATACACGGAAATAGGGTCTCGCCTTGGGTATCTGCGTCACTTTTAATATGCAGATCTACGTCTATAAAATCGGACCCCCCCTTATCCGCAATCACAAAACGACACCCAAAAAACTTTGCCCAGAAGTTTGGAGCCAAACGTATTCATTTATGCAAATTTGCAGCTTCGTCTTTGATTCGATTGTGGAAAAATATATAAAATAGCAACAACCGAAAGTGGTTTGATTAGCATGTGCGCCACTTAGTTAGTTGCCAAAACTAGTTCTAAGAGATACAGCCAAGCTTGAGTTATGGAAGAAACAAGATAAGTCGGTATGAAAAGCGAAACTTGATTGCGGCTTCAAACTCTACCGAGAATTCATCTCCGGACGGAGGCTTGAACGGAAATAAGCCGGTCACCATGTCTTGGATTCCCGTAACAATTTCTTGGCCAGCAATTACCTTCGCCTCGGGTCTGATTGAACAACTGTTTTTCACTAAATTTGCTTAGCCTTAGCATTGCTTTTGTTGGCCTTCAAAAAAGAACAACAAATACTGAAACGAAAACATTGAAATGTTTTGAAAAACAATCCCAACACACATTTTCAAATGAATCATAAGTCTGCCAGATCTCTCTCTCTCTATCTCTCTCTTTGTTGATGTCTTGCTCTCTTGGGCCAAGAACGTTCTTCCCCACGTGAGATTGTTCTGTGGCTGCTGCTTGTCTATCTGCTGGCACAGTGGTCTGAGGTCTCGCATGACATCCGTGAAATCTGTTCGCCTGGAAACAAATCTCGCTTCACACGTGGCACCAACACTCCGGTGAACGGAAATGGGCAAATTTTTGATAAGATAGTGGAGCAGGTGGTCATCAGCAAAGCTCTGTTTCGGCAAATACTATATATGCATATTCTCATATCTCTTGAGGAGGGGTACAGTACCTCTCTAGGAAAAGTAAAACCCTTAAAGATTCGGTATTCGCTGCATAGGTTCGTGATTGGAGTTCAACAAAGATGTTTCGAGAAAGTATAAGCCATACAAAAAAACAGCATATTACGAAACATATAACGTTATCGGTATGAATCGATGAAGTATGAAGCATCGATTACGAGTATATACATATATTATAAATTCAATTATAGCCAATCGAAATGCAGCCATCTGCTATCGGTAATTATCGTTAATACAATTTATTAATGGATACAAATTTTAACGATGACATATTATCGATATCGATTCTAAATTATGATATTTTCAATTCAATTATTAATAATCGTATATATGATATTATCTTCCTTCCGTTTATCGAAATCTATGAAAATATCGGTAAATCAAAACGAGTTAATTATTATTTATGCCTATCTATCGACAGCAAAACTTTTAGTATTAGTACATTTTAGTACATTTAGTACTAAATAATAGAAAAAATTCTGGAATGTTTTTAATCAACGTGCTTAGAGGACGAGGGCATTAGCAAAAGCCCTGTACGAAGTATATGTATGTTTATTTTCCATTTATTGCAAATATGCATATTCCCTCGGGGATTGGGGGATTTTCCCGGAACGATTAAAATCAAGACAAACTTTTTCCACTTATCAGTGGCTGCGATTCGATTCGTTCGATAATGTATTAATATATTTTTAAATGGGCTCGTATGTATACTCGTTTCAAATATGGTAATATTGAAACTCTTTCGAGTACGTCAAAGTGCAGAAGAATAGAAATTGAATGCATATTTACACATCCATATGTAGGAGTGTGTATGTGTGTATGTGTGTCTGTGTGTCTGTGTGTCTGTGTGTCTGTATGTATGGACAGGTGGTTCCACTGTTGGTGGAACAAATGAACAGTTTGTGCCGCCTTCTATTGCCCCCCGGCAGGCCCACTTGGAGAGCAGCTGATTATCTTTTTGTGATTATCTAAATGGATAAATACATTTCGTATTTAAATACAAAATATTCATAAATTGTACGCCACCAGATTGCATATTGTTCTTCTGAAATTGCCACAGCTGCACGGCTCCCTGTGCGTGGGGCAACTTTTGGCTCAATTTAACCTCCGGCTAACTGCGTAGTAGAAACATTTGGGAGAAGCCTTCAGAAGTGGAGGAAAGATCAACTCTGTGCGCAAATTCTTTGATTATTGAAATCAGTGGCAGTGGCGGTGAGAGCAACAAATAATTGAGTTCTGAAGGGTAGGAGGAGTAGCAGAAGTGCCGAGATAATGGTATTCGGATAAGAGGCGGAGTTCCAGGGCGGCGGGCTTCTATCACGTGTGCTTATCGGCAACGGCGCTGCTCTGCGCTGACAGAAAGCGTGCAAAATATAATAAATTTGCAGCTCCACCCGCAGGAGCGTGACATTCAAATTTCAGATTTATCAGTCCATAAAATAGGCCAAATATAAGCCTGCCAAAAGAGCTGATGCCAAACAGTGGGTTGCGCCCGGAGAACGACTAGCGAAAATGCTGAAAAGGCTGAAAGGTTTCTGAGCCAAGCCCAAAACTATGCAACGAAAGCGGGAGCTTACACCACCATCATGTAGAACGAGTGGCCTGGCCCTGTCTTATTTTCTCTGTCAACGAAACTCGGCAGATCTTATTCCAAATTCCACTCCAGCCTCTCCGGAGGTACCCCATGGCCATGCCCCTGAAGGTTAAAGCAGTGCACATTCTTCTTTTCGATTCTTAAGCTTATAAATCAATTAAAACGGATGCTGTTGAATCCCATCACTCATCGAATCTCTACTTATGGCATCGAATCGCTAATCGATGCAAGAAAATTACATACAAAATTGCATTTAGCTGGTGATTTGCTTTCGCTTTTCTATGGGTCCATAACCCATGCGAGTACCTACATATTTACGTGTGTATTTACGTGTGTCCTTCATCCTCCTGTCATTTGCTGTTTGTGTGCTACGTCCCCTAATTAGGTCAAACAAAGGGCCCTCTAATTAGTGGAAGACACCAAACACTCGACTGGCGCCTGCCACACACTCTCCGACGCTGTCCGCACAAAATCAGAGAATGAAACACGTTAGCAGCAGCGGCAACAAGGACTCCAGACATCAGGTGGCTCTTAACTGAAACAAGAGCCCCAACAATAGCTTCAGGGAACACTCTTTTGAGCGGCAGAGTGTCTGGATTATCGCTGGGTCCATCCGGCGATCGTTCACTGTACATCTGCGCACATAAATCACGCGAATGAATAAATAAATTATAGTAAAAACAAAGCCATCAAAATGCCCCCCCGATAAGAGGTGAAGAAAGCAAAGGAGCTCGAAAATGTTTGCGGTCTCCCACATGAACAAATTTGTATACGTATGTACAGTTCATATGTATATTTATTTATGGTTTTTCTTGTTGCTTTTTGGCTCTGCGGCTGTTGCGATAACAATGCTTGTGTGTGGGACAGAGACAGAGACAGAGACAGGGAGAGGAGGGGCACATAGAGATAGAAAGACGGGAGGAGGTGCAGGTACTGTTGAGAATTGTAGAAAAATACTCGTACAAGTTCAATTTAATTGTTGATAAGAAGCCAGCAGCAGACGCAGGGGCAGACGACGAGGCAACTGTGGGCGGAGGGGCAGGGGCAGGGGCGGGGGCATTCCAATCAAATAAATTGTACTTATTTTTAAGGCTCTTTTGTAGATTTGAGATTGAAGTGATTTCTGATAACAAACAAACGGAGCGAAAGAGACAGAGAGAGAAAGAGAGAGAGAGAGAACGACACCCTGCTGATCTGTCGGAACTTCTACTAGCGATTCGATACTACTCGTATTGCTCAAGTCGAATAAAAACGCTTAGTTTGTAAACCAAAGCAGAATCCGGAATTGTAAACGAAAGTCATCGATTGCACTGCAGTTGATTGAACTCTCTGCGGCCGCCGGAAGAGCTACATATGTACATACGTAGCTTGGCGAAGTGGCTTTCAAGTGCTTTGGTTCCAGTATCTATGGAATTCACACTACATTTCAGGACAATCGCCCCATAAGGTGCCCAAGAGGTACTTCAGAGCGGGTACTCTATGGACAGGCCAATATTGTTCTAGAAAAACAGAGTGAAATATGGGTTTCTCGCTTATCGCTTTCGCTTTTCAGACATTTATCATCCAACTATTTCTATGTTCCTACGGAGTTTCAGTTTAATTATAAATAGTACGAAGAGAATAGGTAGAATTACTTGCTAGGAATACTTTTCTAAATACTATACTATTAATTCAAAGATTCTAAAGAACGGACTACAGATAAAATATGTATGTATTTATTCCTGTGAATTGGCGGAAATCTTAACCATTCAATGCTCTTTTAGGGATCTCTTAATATAAAATCGCGAATTCTATGCGGTGGTGTATTCGCTACTCTTCTGGTCCG